ACAAACACACATACAGACACACACACCAGCACACACGGCACACAGATACATACATACATACACACAGGCACACACACCAGGCACACACACACGGCACACAGATACATACATACTTGAAATCATACTTCATACATCATACTTGAAATCTTGGGAGGCTGGCCCCACTCACTAATTCAGAGGTAGGAGCAGGAAGATCAGGAGTTCAAGGTCTTCCTCAGGTACATAATGACTTAGATGCCACATTGGACGACACGAGACTGTCAAAAAAAATTTACGAGTGAAATAAAACTCCAAAATACACATTTCACTTTTTTGTTTTGTTTTTTTTAGAAACTTTTTGTTTTGTTTTGTTTTCCTAGACAGGGATTTTCTGTATAGCTGTGGCTGTCCTGTCTTGCAACGCAATCTGTAGACCAGGCTGGCCTCGAACTCACAGAGTTCAGCCTGCCTCTGCCTTCCAAGTGCAGGCTCAACTCAACTTTCTTTTTAACCTTCTAAATTATTATTAGATGTATTTATTTTATGTATGTGCGTGTAGGTGTACCATGTATGTACACGGCCCAGAGCGGTCAGAAGAGGGCATTGGGTCCCCTAGTGCCCATATGGTTATGAGCCACCATGTGGTCACTAGGAACTGAAGCAGAGTCCTCTACCAGGACAAGTGCTCTTAATCCCTGGGCCATCTCTGTAGCCGCCTTTTTTGTTGTCATGGCTCTTTAATGGGTGTTACCATCTTTCGGGCGGGCGTGGACTCAGTAGACAGCCTAGATTGACCTAAAAACCTGAAATCCTGCAGTTGCAGCCTCCCTGACTGCTAGAACAAGGGGCAGGAGCCACCAGTCTTTAATTAAAAATGTTTTTGGAGCGCTAAAGAGATCGCCTGGCAGCTGGCCATGGTGACCTATGTCTTTCATCCCAGCACTTGGGAGGCAGAGGCAAGCAGATCTCTGAATCTGAGGCCAGCCTGGTCCCCAAAGCAAGTTACAGGACAGCCAGGGTGACACAGAGAAACCCTCTCTTGGGGTGGGGGGAAGAAGTGGCCTATCTCTTAAAAGCATTTGCTGCTCTCGAAGAGGACCCAGGGTCGGTTCCCATCACTCCCAAGACAAACAAGAACAGTCTGTTTTTCCAGGTCAGGGGATCCGGCGCCTCCTTTTGGCCTCAGCTAGCACTAGGTTCACAGGCAAAGCACTTCAAAAGCACAGGTGAGGGCCGGGCGGCGGTGGTGCACGCCTTTAATCCCAGCACTCGGGAGGCAGAGGCAGGCGGATCTCTGTGAGTTCGAGGCCAGCCTGGTCTACAGAGCGAGTTCCAGGATAGCCTCCAAAACCATAGAGAAACCCTGTCTCGAAAAACCAAAAAAAAGAACTCTTAGGGCCCCTGGCATGGTGGCGCACACCTTTAATCTCAGCATTCAGGAGGCAGAGGCAGGTGGATCTCTATGAGTTTGAGGTCAGCCTGGTCTACAGAGCAAGTTCTAGGACAGCCATACATACATACATACATGCATACATACATACATACATACATGCATACATCTTGGACTGGAGAGATCGTTTAGGTGTTAAGGATGCTTGCTGCTCTCCTAGAGGACACGGGTTCAGTTCTTAGCACTCACCTCAGGCTGCTCACAATTGTCTGTAATCTCAGTTCCAGGAGATTTAATGCTCTCTTCTGGTCTCGTTGAGCACCCACACACTTTTAGACACACACACACACAACTTTTAAATAATCTTTTTTTTTTCTAAAGAATCTTTTTGAGGGTAAGGTCAAATGCCTTTAACCCCAGCACCAGGAAGGGAGCAGTAGGCAGATCTCTGTGAGTGGGAAGGGAGTAGCAGGTGGATCTCTGTGAGTTCAAGGCTCGCCTGGTCTTTATGATGAGTGTCAGGCCAGCCGGACACAAACAATGACATCCTGTGTCAAAATTTTTTTTCAGTATGGTGCTGGGGATGGAACCAAAGGTCTCAAACATGTTAAGGATATCCCCCACCGCTGAACCACAACCCCTTGGTGTTGACATTGCTTTTATTCATAGAAAGTCTTATCACCAGGTTATGGCGGTGAACCCCTTTAATCCCATCACTCAGGAGGGAGACAGAGGCAGGCGGATCTCTGTGAGTTTCAGGTCAGCCTGGTCTACAGAGTGGGTTCCAGGACAGCCTGGAATACACAGAAAAACCCTGTCTTGAAAAACCACACAAACAAACAAAAATCCTTCCTGAAACCCCCCCCCCAAAACAACCCAAAACCACAAAGTCTCTGTTTTCTGAGACGGGGCGTAAGTACTACTTATTGACCTGAAACCTATTATGTAGACAGAGCTGGTGTTGAACTCATGATTCTCCTCCTACTTTCTGCTTCCCTAGTGCTGGGATTACAGGCATGCACCTTCATGTTGGGCTGGTTTAACACTATTTAAAGAGTTTGTACATGAGCCAAGAGGCAGATGGGCCGGCATCACACACCTGCACCCTCAGGCAGCGCTCGGGAGGCTGTGACAGGAAGATCGCTCTGAACAGGAGATCAGCTTGGTTTACACAGTGAGATACTGTCTCAAAACCAAACAGCTTTTCCCGTCCCATTCAATTGGTAATCTTGTCCATATTTTTTGTGTGCTCTGGTGAAGGGATTCTAGGGACAAGAAAATGTGTGAGCTCACCAGGAAGTGGTATTGGACATGGGTCACGCAGTGACCCTATTATCAAGTTGAGGGAATGATAAAATGACATGTTTAACACACCCTCTTTAAAAACATGTTACTTGTTTCTAGTGTGTTTTGTTTGCATGTATGGAAGTTCTCCGTGTGTGTGCCTGGTGCCCCTGGAGGTCAGAAGAGGGCATCAAATCCACTGAAACTAAAGTTGCCCACAGCTGTTAGCTACCATGTGGGTGGGTGTTGGGAACTGAACCTGGCTATTCTTTGAAAACAACAAATCAGCAGATGGTGGTGGTGCACGCCTTTAGTCCCAGGATTCTGGAGGCAGAGGCAAGTGATCTCTAAGTTTGAGGTCAGCCTGGTCTACAGAATGAGTTCCAGGACAGCCAGGGCTAAGGAGTGAGTTCCAGGACTACACAGAGAAAAGGTCTTTAAAAGGGGAGTTGTGGCGCATACCCTTAATACAAACAGGTGGATCTCTGAGTTCAGGGCCAGCCTGCTCTACAGAATGCCTTCCAGGATGGATACGGCCACACAGAGAAACCCTGTCTCAGAAAATAAAACAAAACTAAAAGCATAGGTTTTATAGGGCACTAAGGAAGTGTGAGGAGGGTACTCGGGCTCACTAGAACTCAGTGGCCATGGTTGTATGGTCTCCTACAAGGAATGGTCATTAATGCATAAATGTGACTCTTTGGGTGTCTCCCAGGGATGGATGGGATCACAATTGTACCACCTTAGGCTGAGGACCATATGGTAGTTACATAGATGGGAAAGAAGTTAATAAGACCCATGGATAAATTACTGCAGAAGTCATAAAACCCACAGATATTTTCCCTAGGGGCTCCCATTCTCTCTCTTTAGAAATAACATTTAGTAGGTCTGGAGAGCTGGCTCAGCAGTTAACAGCACTGGTTGCTCTTCCAAAGGACCTGGATTCAATTCCCAGCACCTGCCTACATGGCAGCTCACAACTGTCTGTAACTCCCATTCCGGGGAAGCTGACTCCCCCCCACACAGACATGCAAGCAGGCAAAATACCAATGCACATAAAATAAAAATAAATAAATAATGAAAAAAATAAAAACTGAGCCGGGGGTTGATGACGCACGCCTTTAATCCCAGAGGCAGGTGGATCTCTGTGAGTTCGAGGCTAGCCTGGTCTACAGAGCGAGTTCCAGGACAGCCTCCAAAACAATACAGAGAAACCCTGTCTCGAAAAACCAAAAAAAAAAAAAAAGAAAAGAAAAGAAATCGTGCCAGTCATGGTAGTGTATGCTTGTAATCCTGGCATTAGGGAGGTTTGAGACAGAAGGATCCTAAGTTCAAAGGCACTTTGAAATATATAGCAAGATCCTGCCTCAAACAAAGAAAAAGGTGGGCGTTTTGGCTAATGACTATGCCTACTGCATCCTGACAGTGCACTAAGTTTAATCTTCTTTTAAACAATCTTGTTATGATTTTAATGTGTATGAGCATTTTGCCTGCATGTATGTCTGGGTACCACATGTGTGTCTGGTGCCCGAAAGGCCAGAAGAGGGTGTCAGGTCCCCTAAACCTGGAGTTAAGGATAGTTAAGAGCTGCCTTGTGGGTGCTGGGAATTGAACCCAGGTCCTCCAGAAGAGCAGCCAGTGATCTTAACCACTGAGCCATCTCTCCAGCATCCAAAGCTGCTACTGTGCTTGCCTCCGGTGTGCAAGCCCCGCATCCTATACCCAAGTGAAAGAGGACACGCCCTCGCCTGTAATTCCTGCTTAGCAAGTGAAGGCCAGAGGACCACAAGTTCAAGGTCATCCTTGGATACATAAATGGTTTGAGAGCAACCTGAGCTGTTGGCTGTTCACATGTGTGCACACAAGACTAAAGCCAGAGCTCATACGCACATCCCCCGTCTGACCTCTCGGGAGGGGGAAAGCTGGAGCTTCAGGCTAGCCTTCTCTAGGCAGCAAACCTAGTTCAAGACCAGCCAGAGCTGCGGGAGACCTTGTCTCAGAAGTAAACAAATACCCAAGTGCCTGGTGAGATGTCTCACGGGACAATGGTACTTAGCACTAAGCCTGACAACCTGAACTTTTTTTCGAGGCAGGGTTTCTCTGTGGCTTTGGAGGCTGTCCTGGAAGTAGCTCTTGTAGACCAGGCTGGCCTCAAACTCTCAGAGATCGGCCTGCCTCTGCCTCCTGAGTGCTGGAATTAAAGGTGTGCTCCACCATTGCCTGGCCGACAACCTGAATTTTATCCTGGGACGCACATAGTAGAAGGAGAGAGCTCCTAAAAGTTCTCCTGTGACAGCCACATGCCTGCCATGAATTAAGCCACACGTATACGCATAACAAACAAACAGACAAATAAATAACAGTTTTTATTTTAAAAAAATTTTTGGATGCTGTCCTGGAACTCGCTCTGTAGACCAGGCTGGCCTCGAACTCACAGAGATCCGCCTGTCTCTGCCTCTTTATAGGCTTTCTTGAGACAATGTTTCACGAGGTAGCCCAAGCGAGCCCTGAACTCCCGCTGTAAGGCAGGCTGGCCTTGAACTGGACCAACCTTCAGGCTTCAGCAGTCTGAGTGCTGAGAGGAATGGAGTGAGCTAGCTAGCACACCTAGCAATAATTCATTGTTGCTGCTGGCAGTGTAACATCCCGTCTCAAGGATGCCAAATGTATGCCAAGTTAGACCCCAGCCCAATATTTATTGGGCATTTGCATCACATCCTGGTTTCTAACAGCAGTTTTTAATCTTTCAGGATCTACTAGCAGCCCCATTTTACAGACGAGGCTCAAAGAGGCGAGTCCGTTTATTCTAGGTCAGAGAAAGGGTAGCAGAGCTAGGGTTGCCACTCAGCCTGCTTCCCGGGTGGAAAAGAGGATGCAGGGCCTGTTGTTACTTATCTATTTAAAACAGTGATATGCAGGGGCCGGACTGGGATTGTACGAAACTGGGCTTGGATACCTATGCCACCACTTCCTTGCTATAGGATTTTGGCAGGTTGATTTTCCTTAGAAGAGAAAGCCTTTTATTTTTCGTCTGTGGTAGGGGTTACAATGGTACCCCCCTCACCGGCGGTATGAAGATGCCTCAGACAATGCCTGGCTCAGAGCCTGGCACATCGTGAACACTCGGAATCAAGAGCTGTTATTGTAACAATGGTGATTATTGCTGGACCACGCTGCTCCCGGAGGGTTACAATATCCGTGGGGAGCTGCACTGTCCGTAGGCAAGGTTACATAATTCCCCAAAGAGGTGACACTTCCCCGGAGGCCACGGTCTCCCTCAAGAGGCGGCATGAGACGTCTTCGAAACACTGGTGAGCTGGTTTACAGGCTAAATAGGAACCCAGCAACGGAGAAGTTTGGGGTTGAAGCCCTAGGCACCTTTAGCCTGAGCCCGATGGGCCTTCCCTCTTTCCGGCTGAGTCTCCTAGCCCGACATCGATTCCTTTGGTAACTCCGGCTTATTTTTTCATTTTCCGAGACTGTGTTTATGCTTAGCTCGTGAGAATATAGTTTCTGTTTGCCTCTACCCCGCTGCAGGCTGCCTACCTGTATCCGATCGGTACCCCGATTTCCTGTTTCCCAGCCTCAGGCTCCATCCATTCCTCCCATCTGCTGCAGAGAACACAGACTTAACACCTTCCCCTTACGCTCAGGCCTTTGGTCTTAAGCCCTGTCTTCCTCTCACCCCCAGCGCTCCTCCGGAGCACATTTGTCCAGACTTGGGTCGCCCCCTGCATCCTGGCACCACCTCCGGAACCCCCTGCTCCAGTGTGGAGGTGGGGGGACCTCCGGCCGCGCTCCCGGGACAGCTGCAGCCTGGGGACAGTGGTGATGGTGGGGGCTCCCGAATGCATCCTCTGGTCACTTCCTCCCCAGCTGGACGGGGTCTGTCAGGAAGGCCAAGACCCCCATCTCCACAGGAGCCGAGGGTACAGCCGCCTCCCCATTTCCGATGCTGGGAAATGTTTCCCACCCATTCCACCCCACCCCTGGACAGCTGCCCTCTTTCAGGCTCGGGGTTGAGGGGGGTTGGGTAAACCCAGGCTGGGAAATGGCTATGCTCTTGATCATCCTCCAAGATCCAGACTCCGCCCCGCTGCGGAGAAGATTCTGCCCCTTCCCCACAAAAATTTCTGATCGTCCCCCTTCATAAAATTCCTTTCCTCCGAAAGGTCCCAAACGAAACTCTGGAGCCAGGCAGGAAGGGCCGAAGAGAGGCAGCGGATAGTGCGTGGTGAAGACTTAAGTTCTGCTGACTTAGAGCCTCCGAGAAGGGTCGTGACCCCCAGGACCCCCCCAGCCCCTCCCCGCCCTCTTCTTCCTCCCACCCCCGCCGCGCGGCCCCTTTAAGCCAAGAGCCGGCCGGTCCTCAGTGGCTGCGCGCCGGCAAGCGTGTGTGAGTGCGCGCGGGAGGGGGCGGGCACAGTGTCTCCATGGCGACGCGGTGGTGACGTCGCCGGCCGGGGGGCGTGGGCGTCCCGGCCCCGGAGTGCGATATTAACCCGGGAGGCGGCGGCGGGGAGGGGAGAGGCTCTGAGAGGCGAGGCCGGGTGCGGCGGCGAGGGCGTCCCAACGGGCGCGGGACGGGACGGGGCAACGCGGGCGCCAGGAGCAGCGGCCCGGAGTCGGGGCGCCTTGCCCCGGGCCCCCCCAGCATGAAGACCCCGGCGGACACAGGTGGGGGCGGGGGCAGCACGTGTGGGGGAGACTTGTTGCCCCGGGAAACCGGGAGGAAAAAACTTTGGGCGGGGGCTGGAGGGGTTCGGGGGAGCCCGATCGGTCCCCGGGTCTGGGGGACCCCCCCGAGCACTGGAGACCTGTTGCTTCTCGCGTTGCGAGCCGGGGTGCTGCCTGGGAGCCCCGATTCCGTGGGTGCTCCCGGGATGGTGTGGGTGCTGCGGGTGCCGGTCTCTTCCTGCCGGGACCCGGCAGCCCGGGCTCCCCCGGGAGCGCCGGGGTGGCAGAGTCCCTCCCAGCCGCCGTTCTGTCACGTTGCACTCCGGGGGCCGGGACGTGTGCGGGCCGGAGGGGGGGGCGTTCGGCACGGGGGCCCCGCCGTGCCCTCGGGTCTGCGCGGCGCGGTCCGGCCCGTGACCTTCACGGCGCCGCGTGCCCCGCGCCGGGCGAGCGGGACCCCGGGACGGCCTGGAGCCGGGCGTTGAGTGGGGAGCACGGGACTCGGGGTCCGAGCTGCACCGCCCCTCCCCCGTCCGTCTCCGCGCTCCCCCGCCCGCGCCGAGTCGCAAAGTTCCAAAGCGCAGCCCGAACGTTCGAAAAAGGAACTTTTTGTTTCCGACCTTAGAACGCGCGGCTTTAAGGTGGCTCAGGGGAGACCCGGGTCCCCTCCTCCGGCGCGGGCGGAGGCCGGGCGTTCCGAGGAGGGTGGGAAAGACGGGGGGGGGCGATGCAGAGGCTCCCTCGTCGTCGTCCTTCCCCCTCCCCGATCCTGCGCCTCTCTTTCAGCGGGCCGTCTTTTCCCTCCGCCCCTCTCCTTCCCCGCCAAGTTGCTCCTCCTTAAGGGGCCAGGGTTCCCCTCCCCCCCCCCCCCGCCCGGCGCCCGGGCGGGGGGCAGCAGGATTAACCCCCCTCCCACTCGGACTTTCCCCCTTCCCCTCCCCCGCCGCCCCCGGGCTTGCACGGGCTGGACTTTGCGCCCGGGCGCGCGGGGGGGAGGGGGCCTCGCCGCCCCCTGCCCGTCTGCCCCGTCGGAATCCGGCCCGGGGCGGGGACGAGGGAGGGAGGGGGGGTTAGGGGGCCGGGCGCCGCTGTTCAAACTTGTTTCCTTCCCCCGGCGGCGGCCGCGGCCCGGGCTCCTGTGTGCGGGTGTGTGCCCCGACCGGCCCACCCACCCACCCACCCACCCCACCTCCCTGCTCGGCGGGTGGGGGCGGCTCTTAAAGGGCTCGGAGTGGGGCTCCGGCGCCTGGGGATTGGGGCGGAGGAGGGGGGCGGGGGTGGGGCAGGGGTGCGCGGTGCCGTAGGGTCAGTCACGTGCGTCCCACTTACTCCCCCCGACTCCCACGGGCTCGCGGGCCGCCGGGCCCTGGGGGCAGCAGGAGCCTCGCCCGGGGAGGGGACCGAGGCGCCCAGACAACCCCGCCTTGTCTTCCCTCTGTGTTACGGGCCTCGGCTTGACGGGACCTGTAGGGCCACTGCAGCCCTGCCTGCCTGGGGTCCCGGTCGCGGGTACATTCTCCGGGGAGGGCGAGGGACCGGAACGGGTTCCGGGTCGGCCTGTCTCCGCGACTGCCGGCCACTGCGCGCCCCTCCATCCGATCCTCCATCCCGGCGCTCCTCTACTCCGCCGCGGCTGTTTCCCACTTCCTGTTTTCTTCCCGGCTCTGGCGCCATCGAGGTCTGCCTGGAGTGGGGGAGGTGTTGAGGCCCCCCGGGAGGCGGGCGTAGTTTTCCTCAGCCCCCTTCCCGTCTGACCCCTGTGATCCCCTTAAAAAGTTGAGGCAGTCATGTCAAGTTGGGGGTCGTTTCCCAGAACTTAGGCCCCCACCCAGACTTTTGCACCGCCTGGGATATCCAGGTGTGCCTTCTGGGACCCAGCCATCACAGGCCTTCCTGTCCGCGGCCACCTCGACACCCCACCCCGTCTGTGTGTCTGGAGCCCTTCTCTCGGTTGCAGCTGCTTCCTCCCAGCCTCACTGGACCCCATGCAGGGGAGGTCCTGTATCCTCAAGCCTCCTTGCTGCAGAGCAGAGCAGAGCTGGTGCTTCCGAGATTTAAACACGTGGACCCGTACACAACACACACATGGTCTCTTTGCCCGTGCCTGGCTCCTGGCTTTCAAGGCCCGGGGAACAGAGCCCCATTGAGACACCCTGACGTCACCCCCACTCCGTCCCCTCCTCAAAGCTGGGAACAGGCCCTCGTGTATGCTGTGTCCCGATGAGGAAAGCCGGTACTCGGGTGGGCCTGGGCTTGAGGAGGGGGGGTCTCTGCCAGAAGTGGCAGCCAGGGTCCTGGCCTGGGGGTGGTGTTGCTCAGGGGAGGAGGTTAACAAGGGGGCCTGGGACAGCTCCCAGAATGTGGGCTTGAGGCCTTTCCAGAACCCCCCACCTCCTTTCCGAGTTCCCTTTGTGTTGCTTGTAGTCTCTCTCCCTCTCTTCTGCAAAGTTTATTTTTAGCCTCCTGCTCCCCCGCTCCCAGGACTGTCGCTGCACACACGTTGCCTGGTTACCGGGACACGGAGGCTGGGGCTGGTGGGCTGGGAAGGGTGGCTTTAATTTTGGGGGGGAAGGGTGGAAGTCAGTACACCCCTCCACCTCCAGAGTGATGTCTTAGGGGCTTCAGCCCCCACCCCCTTGGGACTGGGAGCCAGATTGGAACTGAGGTGGGTGTGGGGGTATATGGAGCTTCATGCCCTGATGGGAGCCAGGAGAATTTTGGAATTGGTTTCCATGCTGTATGGATGGGCCGCTTGATGTCTGGGGTTCTCAAAGACCTCTGGGTCCTAGGGGATACCCTGGGACCTTGGTTCTCTATAGCAGGGCAGATAATGGGGTGAACACCTGGATTCCCAAGCTAAGGGTGTGACCATGGGTGCCCGGGTCCTTAGAAGGGATTGTCAGGGGCTCTCCCTGCTAAATTGAGTAGCGCTGCTGATGCAGGACTCTGGGACCAACGTCCCAAACAGCTGGAATGTGCTCCTGGAACCTGGCAGTGGTTGGCTGGTGTGAGGCTGGGATTTCTGAATGGGGCATGTGGACTAGGAGGGCGGTGGTGAACTGACCGTCCTTTCTACCTAGGCCCAGGGTCCCCAAGCCCTGTGCGGGGAACACTTGAGTGATGTATTTGGAAAAGGTGGTCCCTGGAGGCGTGGAGGTGCTGATTCCGGTCTTCCCAAGGGGAAGGAGCCTCTTTTTGGATTTCACTTTGGGGTTTGGGCCAAGAGAGGAGGGTACTGACACCAGTTTAGCTGGGGCTTGGGACCCCGCCCATTTCTAGCCATATACCTTGATCTTCCTTCTACAGTGGTGCTAGGGCCCCTGATCTGCCTCCCCCCTTCCCTCCTTCCTCCCCTTTCCCTCCTCCCACCCCTCCATTACCGGCTGCCTAGTGCTGAATTATTGATGGCCCCTGATTACCCGGGGGTTTGGGAAATGACAACAACCGCAGCCCCCCCACCCCAGGCTGCCCACCCCCTCCAGGGACCAAGTCAGCCCACCGCCAACCTCTATCCAAGGTTAATGCTGGGGGCGGGCAAGCAGGTGGGCTGGGAGAAACTGAGGATGAGGAGAGGGAGGAAGGTGACTGGGCCTGCTGGGGCTCTGTCTGGGCCAGGTCCCCTCCGTCCAGGTCCTGCGGGTGGGCTTGGGGAGGGCATTGTGGTTCAGAGGGTCCAGTGCTGTTGGGGGTGGGGGGGGCCTCTCAGACAGTCTGGGTTTCACTCTCAGGGGAAGACAGAAGCCTCTGTGTGTGCAAGCGCTGACCTCATCGTCAACCGGCTACCCCACCCGGCCCGGTCCTTTTAAGAAAAAAAAAATCCTTTCCAGCCCTGGGTGGGAGTAAGCGTGTCCGTGGGTCTAGGAGGAAAGATCACGTATGTTTCTAAGGAGAGGGTCACAAAAGCTGGGGGGGGCACCATCGGCTCTGAATGCAAGCTAGGGGTACACAGACAGGGCTGTACCCCCATTCTGCTGGCCACGTGTGCCCTTTCCTGCCCCTCCCCCTCTCCCGCTGGCAGCCCTGCCCGCCATCCTGGCTTGGTGCCTGGCCCCCTGGCACTGGCCCCGGGACCCGCCGCCGTTGGTTTCCTGTTTCTCCCGGTGTCGCTGGAGCAGGCTCCAGCTTCCCCTCCTAGCTCCTGCCTAACCCCCTCTCACAGACATACTGCACCCTCTGACGGGAGTGTTTGGTAAGGGGAGAGGGCCTTCGGAACGGCGGGGGGCTGAGGGGCTGGGCAGGAGCTAGTAGACTCTAGGGTTGGAGGCCAGAGCCTCCAGCTTGGCATCTTGACCTCAGGCCACTCCCTGTCTCCTGTCCCCAGGGTTTGCCTTCCCAGACTGGGCCTACAAGCCGGAGTCCTCCCCTGGCTCGAGGCAGATCCAGCTGTGGCACTTCATCCTGGAGCTGCTGCGGAAGGAGGAGTACCAGGGAGTCATCGCCTGGCAGGGGGACTACGGGGAGTTTGTCATCAAGGACCCTGATGAGGTGGCCCGCCTCTGGGGGGTCCGCAAGTGCAAGCCCCAGATGAACTATGACAAGCTGAGCAGAGCCCTGCGGTGAGGAGGGGCCAGAGGGCATGTGGCACGCCCGTCCCCATGGTTGGAAACCCCTGGTGCATGTGCACAGGTTTTGGGTTTGATCTCTAGCTCCAGAAGTCCCTCCAGCTGTGTGAACTTGGGCCTTGGGCTGGCCTTTGTGAGCTCAGCGGTCGCACATAGAGTGTAGTCACTGCTGGAGCTTCTTGTGTGGTCCCCACGCTGCCTACTTGATTTCTCCTTTGTGGCCCTAGGCTGTTGGGGGTCCTGTGAGTGCCACCCACCCCCATGTTGCCCCCCGTTGTGGTGCCGGGGTCCTGCGCAGTGTAGCTTGATGGCCCGATGGTGTTTTGTGCCCACAGCTATTACTATAACAAGCGTATTCTGCACAAGACCAAGGGGAAACGGTTCACCTACAAGTTCAACTTCAACAAATTGGTGCTGGTTAATTACCCTTTCATCGACGTGGGGCTGGCTGGTGAGTTGGGGGCCGCGTGGCCTGGCGGGCGTGAGGAGGTGGGTCTTCCTGTGTCCAGCCTGGGCCAGAGACCTTGATGCCGGATCTCCCTTCTCTTGTCAGGGGGCGCAGTGCCCCAAAGCGCTCCTCCAGTGCCATCGGGTGGCAGCCACTTCCGCTTCCCTCCCTCAACGCCCTCCGAGGTGCTGTCCCCCACCGAGGATCCCCGATCTCCGCCAGCCTGCTCTTCATCTTCCTCCTCTCTCTTCTCGGCCGTGGTGGCCCGGCGTTTGGGCCGGGGTTCAGTCAGTGACTGTAGCGATGGCACGTCAGAGCTGGAGGAGCCTTTGGGAGAGGACCCCCGGGCACGACCACCTGGCCCCCCGGAGCTGGGTGCCTTCCGAGGGCCCCCGCTGGCCCGCCTCCCGCATGACCCTGGTGTCTTCCGCGTCTACCCCCGGCCCCGGGGTGGCCCCGAACCCCTCAGCCCCTTCCCTGTGTCACCCTTGGCTGGGCCTGGCTCCCTCCTGCCGCCCCAGCTCTCCCCGGCTCTGCCTATGACCCCCACCCACCTGGCCTACACGCCCTCACCCACGCTCAGTCCCATGTACCCCGGCGGCGGCGGGGGCCCCAGTGGCTCAGGGGGAGGCTCCCACTTCTCCTTCAGCCCCGAGGACATGAAACGGTACCTGCAGGCCCACACCCAAAGCGTCTACAACTACCACCTCAGTCCCCGCGCCTTCCTGCACTACCCGGGGCTGGTGGTGCCGCAGCCCCAGCGCCCTGACAAGTGCCCGCTGCCGCCCATGGCACCCGAGACCCCGCCGGTCCCCTCCTCAGCCTCGTCTTCCTCTTCCTCCTCTTCATCCCCGTTCAAGTTTAAGCTGCAGCCGCCCCCGCTGGGACGCCGGCAGCGGGCGGCCGGAGAGAAGGCTCCGGGAGGCGGCAGCACTGACCAGAGCGTTGGTGGCGGTGGCTCGGGGGCGCTGGCCGAGGGCGCAGGTGCGCTGGCCCCGCCGCCGCCGCCGCCGCCGCCGCAGATCAAGGTGGAGCCCATCTCAGAGGGCGAGTCCGAGGAGGTGGAGGTGACTGACATCAGTGACGAGGATGAGGAAGACGGGGAGGTGTTCAAGACCCCCCGTGCCCCACCTGCTCCCCCCAAGCCAGAGCCTGGAGAGGCGCCCGGGGCCACGCAGTGCATGCCCCTCAAACTGCGCTTTAAGCGGCGCTGGAGTGAAGACTGTCGCCTGGAGGGGGGCGGGGGCCTGCCTGGGGGCCCCGAGGATGAGGGTGAGGACAAGAAGGTTCGTGGGGACGCGGGCCCTGGGGAGGCCGGGGGGCCCCTCACCCCGCGGCGGGTGAGCTCTGACCTCCAGCACGCCACGGCCCAGCTCTCCCTGGAGCACCGAGATTCCTGAGAGCTGTGGGCACGGGCCCCGTGCGCCCCCCTACTCCCCGAGCTTTTGCTGCCTTAACCCCCTCCCCCCAGAGCCCCGGCGGCGGTGAGGGCAGCTCTCAGTCTCCTCCCGGCCTCCCTTTCTCCTCCCCACATTTTGTATAAAACTTTTCATTTTTTTTTTTAATGGTAGGGTGGGTGGGTGCCCAGGGCTGGGGGCTAATCTCCTCATCTCTGGGTTTCTGAGTTCCGGGCGAAGTGGTGGGGGGGCGGGAGGGGGTTGTAAAGTGAGGGCACCTCCATTCTGGGGATTTCTATTGGAACAGAGGCTTTGGCCTTTAACACCCAGGAACATTTTTACTACAATCGTAGGAAGTGAAGCCTTGTCTCCCTCCCTGCGCCCTGCCTCGTACCTCGTCCTCCCCCTTCGCACCCCTCCCTCCCCAGCCCTAACCCCGCCTTCCTTGCCCCTCCGGGGGCTGTGAGTGCCTGGGTTTCTTATACCCCACAAGGTTGCAGCAGGGGCCGGAGGGACAATTTTATAAACCAAAAATTCTGTGGGGGTGGTGGGGTTCGAGGCAGAGGAAGGCGAGGGATGCCGCCTGTGGGCCACAAATCTCTTCAAGTGCCTGTTCCCCGCTCCACCCCAGTGCCGGTCCAGACCCCCCCCACCCCCACCCAGCTGCCCCTAGGTCTGACCCATGGGCAGGTGGGTCAGGGGACAGGAAGGGGAGTCCCTTGAAACCAAACTGGAAGCCCCCGTCTGCCTCCCGGCTGGGGCCCCAGGGGTGGGCTGGAGGGCTGCGGTCAAGCCTTATTCTGTATCGGGAATGGAGGGGTGGGGCGGGACATAGGGAGCTGCTGGAGAATGTATTCAAAACAATAAAACTTTGGACCTTTGAGTGTGGTAATGTGTCCTAGGTACTGGATGCAGCCAACCACAGCACCGCCACAGACCTGCCTTCACCCTGGACAGGTCTAGACACGCACCTGCTCGCATCTGTGGCCACAAGGCCTGACTCCACCTGAACAGGTCAAATCGGCCTGGGGCGCTATTGGCCCTCCCTCAGGTGTCACGCAGGTCTCTGGCTCTCTCTAGTCTTGTATTTCCTTGACTGGTTTCCTATCATCCAATCTGCCTCTTGGACCCTTAACAGGGTAGAGCCTGCTTCTCCCATTACCTGAATAGCTCTTCCCCTCCAGCTCTGACCGCTAAGCCACACCCCCCCCCCCCCCCCGTCGGTCCCCCATTGGAGAGTCCGGTATTTCGAACTGCCTCTGGCACACTGCTCATCTCCCTTAATGTACAAGGAGGAGGCTTTAGAGGTCCACGCCTGTGATCCCAGCACTAGAGTTAGGAAGTTTAAAGCCTCCCTGGGTCACATAAAAAAGGGAGTGTCTTGTTACCATTCTGCTTGGGATCCTTTGGCAGCGAGGCCTGCAGGGTCTCGAACTCAGGCCTTGGGCTGCAGGGATGAGTCTCTGGTGGAATGGTTTGCTCTTCTAGAAGATCTGGGTTCCATGCAGAGCACCCAGGTGGGGCGGTTTAATGAGGACCCATAACTCCAGTTCCAGGGAATGTGTTGCCTTCCGGCACCCATTCACATTAATGAAAGTCCTCGGAGAAATATGTAAGTGTTCGGTCTATATACATACTTGTGTATCTTGCGTGCTGTGCCGGAGGACGTCAGAGGAGGGTGTCCTGCCCCGGAAGGAGATCAAGATGGCTACAGACTGCCATGTGGATGCTGGTAACTGACCCTCAGTCTGCAGCAAATGCTCTTAACCCGCAAACTCTCTTTCCAGCCCCAATAAAACCAAGTCTTACAGAAACCCGTGAAGATAATTGGTACTCTTTGTCCCACAAGGGCGGTAGCCCCGGCAAGCAGGTTTTTCGAGGGATTTATCCCAATAATATCTGATTTTGGCTGGGTGGTGGTGGCGCATGCCTTTAATCCCAGCACTCGGGAGGCAGAGGCAGGCGGATCTCTGTGAGTTCGAGGCCAGCCTGGTCTACAGAGTGAGTGCCAGGATAGGCTCCAAAGCTACACAAAAAAAAACCGTGCCTCGAAATATCAAAAAAAAAAATCATTTTCTGTAGGCATTCAACAACAAAGGATTTTATTAGACTCGCCAATGACCAGAGCTATTCAGGGAAGTAGCTCCAAATCCCATGGTCTTGCAACAACTGGATTTTTCCAATGAAAAGCCAAGGTGGCTGAATTCAGATCAAGGTGTCCGGGATTTTAAGATTTGGTCTGTGATGAACTCAAGCAGCTAGAAAACCAGCTTGGAGAGACGAGTCCAGGAGGAACTATTAACAGGAAGAATTCAGGCTGTGATTTCTGGTGGATACAAGCCTCACCTGGGCAGGGCAGGTGTCATGCCTGAGGCCCAGAAAGGGGAAGGGGTTCCCCCAAGGCCACACAGTTGCTGAGAGATAAGAGTGGGAATCCAGGGCCTGTTGGACTGGCTTCGCCATAAAACGCCACCCTGTGACGCCCTGAGGGGGAAATGAACATTGGACTGGCATCTTCTATCTACCCTGTGTGCCAGCCCCGGGGGGGGGGTGGTCCCAGATGATGCCGTCAGTTGGCAGTGAGGAGAGGATCCAGGACTGGCATCCTGGCAGGAAACCGGCTCTTGTGGCAGCCTGTGGGCAACTGCTCCCTCTCCTGGGTGATGTAAGTCATTCCCTGGGGTGGGAACCACTGGGTTATTTCTGGAAGTCGGGATGAGACGTATCTCCTGGCAACGGAGATGCAGCTGAGTTGCTGGTGGGGTGATAGAGGAGGCGGCCGTTGTCACTGCAAGAAAGAAGCAGGACGGGCCGGTAGCCTCGCTAGAACCTTTGGAAGCAGCACTTCCGGCCACACGACTCGTGAAGCGCTCAGCGTCAGCACCCCTTGGAGGTCCCATCAGGGTCTCCTCAAACTTGTTGCCCCGGATCCTGACTGTGTGGGTGTCACAGGTGATGTTTGGCCCGCCCCCAGGTCTTTCGTCGCCCACCTAAATCCATCTGCAGGCCTGGAACATTTCCTGCAAAATGCCCGGAACCCAATGTAGCAGCTCGTGGCTCAGCACTGGGAAGCCTTAGGTTGGAGGATGACTCCTAGTTCGAGGCTAGCCTTGCTACAGAACAACACCTCACTTCTCCCTTTTGTTTTCTGAGACAGGGTTTCTCTGTGTGGTCTTGGCTGTCCTGGACCTCACTCTGTAGACCAGGCTGGCCTCAAACTCACAGAGATCCGCCTGCCTCTGCCTCCCGAGTGCTGGGATTAACGGCGGCACGTGCCTTCGAGAAAACCCTATTTGAAAAGAGAAGGGAGGGTTGGGGATGTGGCTCAGTTGGTGGGGTGCTGGCTTGTTTAGCGCTTACAAGACCCTGGGGTTCAATTCCCGGCCCCATAGACCCGTCTTAGTGGCACCTACATGTAATCCCAGCATAGCGTAGGCAGGAAGGTCAGAAAGACACCTTCAGCCTCGTACTGAACTTGAGGCAAGCTGGAGTTACCAGATCCCGTTTTCAAAAGAAACAAAAACAAAAAATACCTGACCTTGGTCCTGAGGTTTTTGCTTCCAACCAGAAAATCCTCCATAGATCATTCAGGGCATTTTACAGATTAATCCATGCCAACTAAAACCCCATTTGTAAGAACAGCCCTCCTCCCAAATACCTACACAACTCCTTCAAAGTCCCTTCGGTGTGTTTCTTAGTCATCCTTTGTCTATTCAGGCTGCTTGGAAACCGTTGTAATTTCTCACAGATACCTCTTGAGCTTTCTCTGTCATGCCCCAAACAATTGCTTTCCGATGCCTACAGCCTATCAAAGACTTCTTTCATCCAAACAAACATCTCTAGGACCCCCTTAGACACTTGGAGACTTTTTTTTTTTTTTTTTTGGTTTTTACGAGACAGGGTTTCTCTGTATTGTTATGGAGCCTGTCGGACCAGCCCGGCCTCGAACTCACAGAGATCCGCCTGTCTCTGCCTCCCGAGTGCTGGGATTAAAGGCGTGCGTCACCAACGCCTGGCGACACTTGGAGACATTTTACAGATCTTCTCTGACATTCGCCCTCCAGTGCCCCACGGAGATTAATGCAAAAACCAACCCCCGGCTCAGGTCCCACGGGCTCCAGCGGTTAAATAATGGGCTCTGTCCTGCCCCACACACCCTAGTGAAACTTCTTGGTCCTATGCCTTGGGGCTTGACTCAAATTTTAACTTTTCAACCCCGGAGCAGCCGTCAGAGGGCGGCAGCCATCCATTCGGCTGCGCAGCCCCAGAGACGCCCTCTCTCTCCAGCCGAGCGCGAAGCTCTGCAAGGTGGGCGGAAGGACTGCGCTTTGCCTTCTGGATAACGTAGTCCGAAGAGGCCCTCGCTGTACGATCTGTCTCCGTTCCCAGGCCACTGAGAAGTGCAGTCGGGAACTGACCGAGCAGATTGGACGTTAGGCTTCAGGAAAACCCGAACAATTAGTACCAACACAGGCTGCGAGTGAAGGAAAACGCAGACTCCATTTCTGAGGCAGGAGGAGCTGACAGCAGCGCTTTTCATCAAACACACAGGCGCACACACACAGAGAGAGAGAGAGAGAGAGAGAGAGAGAGAGAGAGAGACAGAGACAGAGACAGAGAGAGACAGAGACAGAGAGAGACAGAGACAGAGACAGAGACAGAGAGAGACAGAGACAGAGACAGAGAGACAGAGACAGAGAGAGACAGAGAGAGATTGAGAGTCCCAGTATCGTTTGGAGCTATTTCTTTCTTCCGGATATTATTAATCAACATGCGCAGGGAAGCTGAAGCTGCTTCTTGCAGATTCATTTGGATTCTCTAGGATCCTATAATTTAGAAAAACGAGTTCAGGACATAAATTCTCTCTCTCTCTCTCTCTCCTCTGTCTCTGTCTCTCTGTGTCTCTCTCTCTGTGTCTCTGTCTCTCTCTCTCTCTTAAATCGTGCAGCTCATCCTCTTGGTTCTCACCACATTGTTGGAGAGAGGTAGAGTATCCGAAAACAAGTGTTCGGAGACACGGTCGGGACTGTTTATTAAATCCTTTGAGAACTGAGGGAGGAAACGTGTTTCTCTTCCTCATATGTGGCCTCTTGGGACACCTCTTTCCAGCAGTCGCTGCTCGGCTTAGGCTCATTGCTAGGACCCAGGGACCGGGGAGGAGACATTGTAACTCCTAATAGCTTCCCCCGGGAACTGCTGTCCTTAACCTTTCGCCTACGCTCCCAGCCGCAGCACTCCCTTCGGACTACAGTTCCCAAGAAGCCCCGGCGCCTCGCTCCACAAAGAGTCAGAGTCCACTGAGGACTGCTCCCGGCATGCTTCGGGCTGCTGGTAGCTCCCGTCCTCTTCCTCGAAGATGAGGCGGTCTCGAACTTCATTTCCCAGAAGACACCAGGCTCCCTGAAGCACCGCGCTTAACTCTTGGTGTCGACTACATTTCCCGGAAGGAACTGCGGCGCAGCTAACTGGGCAGCGAGAGCGCGATGCCTACTCCATTTCCTACCCCATCTCTTCCAGTTACAGCATCTACTTGGGGTTTGAGGACCACCTGAGACTTTATTCCCTAGCGTGCTTTATAAACCGCTCTACACCTGCAATGCGGTGAGGGCGTGGCGACGACTCCATTTCCCAGTGTGCTTCACAGCTCAAGAACTGGGGGATTCACGAGGGCGGACTCGATTTCCCAGGATGCACCCGGCACAGGAAGTCACCGATAGCCCATAGAGTTGATGGGTGACTGGACTCCATTTCCCGGCATGCCTCAGGGCTGGATGCTGCTCAGGGATGGAGTGGCTAAGATTTCATTTCTGATATCCTATGGGGCTCGCTGTTGCACCTGTGTAGTGAGTGTGTTGCTCTGACTGTGGTGTCCGAAGTATTTTAGCGTTGTCTTTTGTCAGGGGTCGGGTGACATTACCCAGGACTATATTTCCCGACGTGCAGCGCGAACCCTAAACGCCCCACCCTCCCGGCCAGCTACTCCGAGGTCTTGAGAACTCCATTTCCCGGCGTGCTGTGCGAGTCGAGGGTGGCGACAACGAAGCCGACCGCAGTGGGACTTCATCTCCCGGCGTGCCCCGCGGCGGGCGCTGGGCCGGAGCCGGAGCCCGAACGGCGCGGCCTGGAAGAGGCCGGAGCCCAGGGGAGGCGGCGGCAGAGGCAGCGGCGGGGGCAGCCCAGGCAGCCCGAGCCCCGCGGCCTGGGCCTGCGCTCGGCGCCATGAGTGGCGGCGGGCCTTCGGGAGGCGGCCCTGGGGGCTCGGGCCGGGCGCGGACCAGCTCGTTCGCGGAGCCAGGCGGCGGAGGCGGAGGCGGTGGCGGCGGCCCCGGGGGCTCGGCCTCCGGCCCAGGAGGCACTGGCGGCGGGAAGGCGTCAGTCGGGGCTATGGGTGGGGGCGTGGGAGCCTCGAGCTCCGGGGGTGGACCCAGCGGCAGCGGCGGAGGAGGCAGCGGTGGCCCCGGCGCGGGCACTAGCTTCCCGCCGCCCGGAGTGAAGCTGGGCCGTGAGTACTTGGGGGCGCCCTGTGGGGTGGTGATCTGGGTCTCCCAAGCCCATCAAACAGCGGTCAGATTTTTTTCTTGTACCCAGATAGAAGCTTGAGGTCACCGTGCTGCTTCAAACCGGGATCTGAGCTCTCTGTCTCTCAGATAAAGGAGTTGGGGGGCTACCATCACTTGGAGTGTAGAATCAGAATTACCAACATGCGAGAAACAGAGGTCACAGGCCCCATTCTTCCAGTATCCAGATCAAGGTCTCGGGTACTTGACGACGTTGCCATAGACTAGGGAACAGGATCAGAGGTCATAGTTACTTGCCAGGGGTGATCTAGGATTATTGTCCCCTAAGAGACGATCACTGGCACCATCCTATACAAAAAGGGAGGCTATTGATTTCCTTTCCATCAAAAATGGGCATTTGGATCGAATCTCTCTTAGAAATACAGACTGGGGATTACTAATGTTCCCACAGAACAGGGCCAGGCTTAAAACATAAGGACTGACATAACCACCATACCCATTGAAAATGTGTAGACTTGTGTCCCCAATGGTGACCGTAAACACTCATTGATGTTTATAAATAGCAGCAGATTGGGAATAGCAATGAGCAGATTGGGAATAGCAATGAGCTTCAAATTAAGCAGTGTTCTTTAAAAAAAAGGGGGGGCGGGGCCCTTTAGCAGAAAAAAAAAAAAGAATGGGATGGCATGGGTCACACCTACTATAAAATATGGGTTTGCAGTGGCTGTCATTGGCTCTGGAAAAAATAAAAGCAATGTAGGATTATTTTTCAAAACTACACACACTGCTCCTCCCAATTAGAATTTGTTGATAAGTTTTCTGAAGGGAGTGGGTGACTGGGAATGGTACTAAGGTTTGCTGCTGCTTAGAGACAGGGATTGGAATCAAGACTCCCCTCTAGAGGCCCTAGGACAGAATATACCCCAGCAGTCCGGGAGATCAGCACTTCATCCCAGGTCAGGTCTGCTCAGTACTGCAAGGATGGAGAGGCCAGGCCATCCCAGTCAGTGCAAGGTGTTTGGTTGGTTGGTTTTTCGAGACAGGGTTTCTCTGTATTGTTTTGGAGGCTGTCCTGGAACTCACTCTGTAGACCAGGCTGGTCTCGAACTCACAGAGATCCGCCTGCCTCTGCCTCCCGAGTGCTGGGATTAAAGGTGTGCGCCACCACCGCCTGGCTGTGCAAGGTGTTTGGTAATAGCACCAGCAGCCCCGATCCCTAGCAACAAGTGAGGGTCAGGGAACTGTCAGTTGAACCAGCTCATTTTGTCACTCAGGGACAGTGGTGATGGTCCCTGCTCTGCCAAGGAGAATTTAGAAGTCAGCACCCTGAGAATGGCCAGAGTTTTCGGGAAGAAAGAACACCTCATAGTTTCTGCCCCTTTGAGTGGAAGATGGTACCTTGTTGTGACCCTGCACGAAGGGGCCAAAGGCTGGGGAGCCCAGTGTGGCTGGAGTCTGCACCTAGGGTGGTGGTGTTCTCCACCACCAAGTGACTTGCTCTTGTTTGCTAAAAGGAGAAATTGGGTGGAAAATGAGTTTGAATGTCTGTGTCCTCCAGTATGGGAAGCAGAACTTAGGGTTCCTTGGAGGGAGGCTCCAGGTCACTGGAGTACCTAAGCTCCTCTCCCCGTGCTTAGGTATTGAACCCAAGGTGTGTGCTTGGCAGTACTCTTATCACTGAGTAATCACTGTCCCTTCACCCGCAGTGAGCTTTTGAACAGCTTTCCCTCCCTGGGCTGTGGTGGCCAAAGAGGAAAGATCAGTAGCTTGTATTCCCTTTGTTCCTTAGGTGACAGCGGGAAGGTGACCACAGTGGTAGCCACTCTAGGCCAAGGCCCGGAGCGTTCCCAAGAGGTGGCTTACACGGACATCAAAGTGATTGGCAATGGCTCTTTTGGAGTCGTGTACCAGGCACGGCTGGCAGAGACAAGGGAGCTAGTGGCCATCAAGAAGGTTCTTCAGGACAAAAGGTTCAAGGTAGCGTGGGTGGACTGGCGGTTTGGGGGCTGGGAGTGACTGCTGTTTGTGTATCTGGAATGGAATCTTACTATTATCTGTTAATGTGTGTGCCATGGGGCATATATGGGGGTCAGGTGACCATTGGGCCTTGGCTCTCCTCGCACCCTGGACGCTGGAGGTTGAACCCAGGTCATCAGGCTGGCCTGGTAAGCACTTCTGTGTACTGAACCATCTCAGCAGCCTGAGCCCAGGGTTTCAGCGGGACCTGAGCACAGGCCTCAGGAGAGGGGGAAGGAACGGGGAGATGTAAGTTTCACAACAGCTGAGAGCTAGTGTTTACTGGGCAGCTCCTTAGTGGGAGCGCTTGACAGGCAAGCTCTAACTTAGCTTACCTGCAGCGTCTCCGAGGGCAGGTACTGCTGCTATCCCTGCTCTGTGTCAGCGGAAATGGGGCTGCATAGCAAGGGCCCCTGCAGGGGAGGCTCTGGCCCGTGGACTCCCCAGTCCCTGTCCTCAACCGCTTGGTCACATCTCTTCCAGAAGAAAAAGGCTGATAAGGCTGATGATGCTGGTAGCTCGGAAGGTCGTGCTCTGCCCCAGGCGTCAGCCAGTGTTCAATGTAATCAAGCCCTTATGGTACTCACTTGAGCCTCTTGTCTTGGTGCAGGGCAGGGCTCCCTCCAGAGGGCAGGGTGCTCCCTCCAGAGGGCAGGGTGCTCCCTCCAGAGGGCAGGGCGCTCCCTCCAGAGGGCAGGGTGCTCCCTCCAGAGGGCAGGGTGCTCCCTCCAGAGGGCAGGGTGCTGCTCCGTGAGCTGCCAGAGGCCTGGGGAACTAATAGCGGGGGAGGGAGGGAAGTTATGTGGTGCACGGAGGACGGAACCAGACTAGCTGGGGTGACCAGGGCTGGGGCTGGCCAATGAGGGCTCTTGGACAGGAGCAGCTTTGGGGTGTCAGTCAGACCTCGATGGGGTTGAACTGCAGAGCTGGGGGCAGGTCTGGGAAGAGTTCCGAGGCCCTAGAGGGGACCAGACAGTGGGCAGAGGCTCAGGCACAGAGTGGAAGATGAGATTGGAAGTTGGCGTGCAGAGTTGTGAGTCCCCGGTACTTCCGGGGAAGGCGGTGGAGGGTGATAGGGGTCAGGGGTGCAGAGAACCGCTGCTCTCTGCTGGTGCTGGTGCCTTTGTCTGCCGTGCTGTGTCTGTGGCTTAGTTTTGTAGTGTGTGGGATGGAGCCCAAAGGTTGTGTGGGCTGGGCAAGTGCTCTACCACGAGCTAGCTAGATCCCTAGCATTCTTTTTGTTTTGACACAGCTGCGCCAAGGTGCCCAGACTGTCCTTGAACTTGAGGTCCTTCGGCCTTAGCCTTCCAAGTAGCCGAGATCACAGGCCAGCACCACCAGGCCTAGCTTCAGTAAATTTTTCAAGAGATTCTGAGGGCTGGCTTTATGAAGACACTAATTGACCCTTCTGTGTCAGCAGTAGTTAGAAAACTTCTGAAAAGCAGCTTGAAGTGAACACATTGGTGGCCCGGGACTAACTGACCCATAGGCCCCGCTTGTGTGTGTGGGACGGGACCAGGGGTGAAGTGAAGAACTAACCCTCCTCTTCTTCCTCCCTCAGGCCTTGCAGCCTTGAGTTTAGGCACAAGGAACAGCTGCCTGCTCTAGTAGCAGAAATAGGTGGCGGTGGAGGTGAGGGTGCTGGGGTGGGGAGACGGATTGTATGTATCGACACTCCCTTTGCCCCCCAGAACCGAGAGCTGCAGATTATGCGTAAGCTGGACCACTGCAATATCGTGAGGCTACGGTACTTTTTCTACTCCAGTGGGGAGAAGGTGAGACGCTGGGAATCTAAGGGGTGTAGGGGGTTGCCATACTCAGTGCTCTCCATTTTCCCGCTTGTCTTTTTTGTTTTTTTTCCGAGATGGCTTTGGAGGCTGTCCTGGAACTAGCTCTTGTAGACCAGGCTGGTCTCGAACTCACAGAGATCCGCCTGCCTCTGCCTCCTGAGTGCTTTTCCTGCTTGTCTTAACCAGGAGATGCTTCTGTCCTCACTGGTCTCCGCATACCTTCCCTCTTACCTTCCAATGTCCCATCTCTCCTTTTCCCTCCAGAAAGATGAGCTGTATTTAAACCTGGTGCTGGAATACGTGCCCGAGACGGTGTACCGGGTGGCCCGTCACTTTACCAAGGCCAAGCTGATCATCCCGATCATCTATGTCAAGGTATGCAGGCAGGCTGCTGGAGCACAGGCCCACAACCCAGGGGCCCGGCCAGCTGTTGCTAAGTCCAGGGGAGGGCCAAGGCAAGGGCTTGCCAAAGGTGGAGAGGGGGTTGGGGGAGGTGGGAGAGCCTAGAGTTGCGGCAGAAGGTGTGCCCACCCAGAGGCGTCAGGCAGGCCTCTCCCCGAATCGCCTGTGGGCCTGTTCATGGCTTCAGCACTTTGCATCCCGGGAAGCTGCTGCTCTGGGCTGTGCTGCTGCTCTGGGCTGTGCTGCTGCTGTAGGCTGTGCTGCTGCTCTGGGCCGTCCATACTGGGAGGGCAGTTCTGCAGCTGCGAGCTGTGGTGTGGTTGCGCCTCTGCTCAGCCAGTGCTGAGCAGTTCGAGAGGCGCAGCTGACTGGAGCCCAGGCCTCGCCTATGGACAGCTGTTTGGCCGGGCATGGTGGTGCACACCTTCTGTCCCAGCACTCAGGAGGCAGAGGCAGGAGCATCTCTTGAGTTCAAGACCATCCTGAGCTACAAAAGCTCCAGGACAACCAGGGCTACATAGAGAGGCTGTGAGGTCGTTGGCACCATCACAGAAAATGACAAAGCTGAGGGGGAACTCGGGAAACTGAACGCTCCTTCCCTGCCTGCCTGCCTTGGAGGTGGGAACAGTGAAGGAAGGTTGGGAAGGGAGTAGTCTGACGCAGGAGGAGGGTCCAGAACCTCTTGTGTGTCAAGCAGCTGATTGGTTAGTGTATACTAGGTGCTGGCCTAGGCCTAGGAGATGCAGGAGAAAGGAAACTCAAACGTCCTGGCTGCTCACAGTGGTGCGCGCCTGCAATCCCAGCACTGGGGAGGCTAAGGCAGGAGGGTTTCAAGTTCAAGGCCAGCTTGGGATGCAGTGTATGGCTTTGGGTCAAAAGAACAAATTCCAAGAAGGGTTCCCTGGGTAAAGGTGCTGCAAGCTTGAGGACCAATCACTGGACCCACACGATGAGACGCAAGATCCGACACCAGGAGGTGTCACCTGTGGTCCATGTGTAACCCCTCCCCAGAAGCAGGCGTGCATACACAATCAAAGTGTAATGCAGCTTATAACAAAGCAAGACTAAAACCGTCCTCAGGTTCTAGTCAGTGGGTGTAAGGCGGGCAGGAAATGAAGCTGGAGAAGGGCTGTGGCTTTGTGAGGGGAAGCTTGACCCATGCCCTGTGTTATGGCAAGACCTTCTGGTGTCAGAGTGCCATCCTCAAGCTTCAGAATCAGCAATTGGGGAGGGGCCCCTCTGGCCTACTCCCATGAGTCCAAGTGATTGCGGTAGGCACTAAAGATGGAGAAGCAGGTTTCAAATGAGGTTCGGGAACTGTGGCGCAGGGACAGGCAGCAGGGAGAGGGCCCGTGGGCAGCAGCGTGGGGAGCGGCGAGTAGACGTCGAGCTGTGCTCTGCCCGTCTTAGGTGTACATGTACCAGCTCTTCCGGAGCTTGGCCTACATCCACTCCCAAGGTGTGTGTCACCGTGACATCAAGCCCCAGAATTTGCTTGTGGACCCCGACACTGCTGTCCTCAAGCTCTGCGATTTTGGCAGGTAGGTGTGATCCTGGGGGTGGGTGCCTAAAGAGGCGAGCGCCAGCCTTGGGTTCATGTTTAACCTGCCTGTCTTCCCACAGTGCAAAGCAGTTGGTTCGGGGGGAGCCCAACGTTTCTTACATCTGTTCTCGGTACTACCGTGCCCCAGAGCTCATCTTCGGAGCCACCGATTACACCTCATCCATCGGTCAGTCAGGGACGGGACGGGGACTGGGGAGGGGCAGTCTCCGCAGGTGTTGAGCCCATGGGCATTGTCGCAGGCTTGGTGACTAAAGCTTACCGTCTGCTCCTACCACGGTTCCCATGGAATGTGGAGGCCCCATGCAGCTACCTGCTGGGACTCAACAGCCGGCCAGGGCAGGGCTGAGACTTCAAGAGCCACTTGACTACCTAGAACTCACCTCCGCTCTAGAACCTCCCAATCAGCCTGTTCTGTTGGAGGGGAGGGGATGGCCTGCGAGCTTCTGTTTCTGAGGGAAGGCGGGCGTGAGAACGTGTGTGAAAGGGTTGGAGGAGCCTCTCAGTCTGAGGAGCCGGTATGGTCCTTAGCTCTGCACTAACAGAGTAGGGAGGGGCTGAGCAGGCCAGGCTGGGGTGAAGCAGCTAGTCCAGAGTTGAAGCTTTCTTGTGGCCCGGAGCACGCAGGGTCAGGCCCTGTGCTGGCCTAGCTGAGAAGCAGAGAAGGGTCCAGAGGGTTCGTTGGGGTCCCTCACAGAAGGTGTGGGGCTGTAAGCACAGCTGAGCCCCGTGGACCTGGAGGTTCAGGCTCGTGTCCCCACGCTGCGTGCGGTCCTGGGCCAGCACTTCTGGAGACTGCTGTGAGGAGCAAGTGTGCAAAGGGGGGCTTTGGTGGCTTCGGCTGCCCAGTGTTGACCTCTACCCTTCCCCTTCAGATGTGTGGTCAGCTGGCTGTGTCCTGGCTGAGCTGCTTCTGGGCCAGCCCATCTTCCCCGGGGACAGTGGGGTGGACCAGCTTGTGGAGATCATCAAGGTGAAGGCGGGCGGGCCAGGGAGGGCAGGGGCGGGCCAGGGAAAGGAAAGGGCCCTCGTCTCAGACCCTCCCTTTCCTTTCCAGGTACTAGGAACTCCAACCCGGGAACAGATCCGAGAGATGAACCCCAACTACACAGAGTTCAAGTTCCCACAGATCAAAGCTCACCCCTGGACAAAGGTAGGGCACAACTAGGGACTCCACTTCATGGCTGAAGGGGTAGGACCCTTGGAGGCCAACTTCTCTGGGAACCTGGCTTAAGTCATGGTTTGTGGGGCTGGAGACAGCTCAGTGGTTAAGAGCACTTGTTACATGTGGGTTCGATTCCCAGCATCCACGTGGTGGGTGGGGATCCTACAGGCACGCATGTGGTTAACACACATGCATGCAGGCACAACGTTCATAAGGTAAAATAAACAGATCCAAAAAGAATAAATTATGGCTGTGGGGGGTGGGTGTCTAAAGTTATCCAGGAGTCAGTCAACACCACTTTGACATTGTTAAGTTTATAGAATTTAAAAGTTGAGAACCCATAGATAAATACACTTCATGTAGTGGCGAGGAAACTGAGCTAGCTGCCCCGTTCAGTGTTTGTGCCTGTTTCCTTATTGGGGAGGTGGGTGTCGGGGAGGCAGGCAGCCATGGACGCACACTATGAGGCACTCCACAGTGCAACAGCACCTACACGCTTAACCCCACCCACAGGTGTTCAAATCCCGGACGCCACCTGAGGCCATTGCGCTCTGCTCAAGCCTGCTGGAATACACTCCATCCTCAAGGCTCTCCCCGCTAGAGGCCTGCGCCCACAGCTTCTTTGATGAACTGCGGTGTCTTGGAACCCAGCTCCCCAACAACCGCCCGCTTCCCCCGCTCTTCAACTTCAGTCCTGGTGGTGAGAGCACAGTTTGGGGCCTGTGCAGTTAGGAGACTTGGGGGACACGGGACTGGGAGCTGAGGGGGTACAGGGTAGCCCTGGGCTCAGCCAGATGTCTCCACACCCCGGCTGGATGCTAGGCCCTTTCCAGTGACTGGGTCCCTGGTGCTACATCCTAACCCTAACTGGCTCTCCCAATGCCCTGCCTTTCCCTGACTGGGCATGTCCATTCCTGTGTGTGTCTAGAACTCTCCATCCAACCGTCTCTCAATGCCATTCTCATCCCTCCTCACTTGAGGCCCCCAGTGGGCCCTGCTACCCTCAGCTCGACCTCACAAGGTAAGTGAGTTAAAGCAGCCCCTGTGAAATGGGGGCTGTCTTTGGCATCTGCAGTTTCCCACAGGGTGTCATTTGTCGTTATTTGATGGCACAGAAGGCATATCTTACAGCCTGTCAGCAACCAGCTTTACAGGGCAGTGCTGCCCACATTTGTGTTTAAGTGCCAACTAGAAGACCAAACATTTCTTGGTCTGAACAAATAAACAGAAAGTTGCCCGCATTTAAAGAAAGATTGGGCCATTTTGGATAAAAATCCAAACTTGTTTCTGTGGGGAAGAGAACTGGACTTGGCAGCTGTGGGTGTGCCCGTGTCCTGACAGCAGCTGGAGCTCTGTCCAGCTGCCCTTCCTCCTGTGGAGCCTGGCTCCCTGATGTGAGCCACTTCAGTGCCAAGCTGGCCCTCTGGCACCTGAGTTTGCAGCCCTGAACCTGAAGTCACGGCTGTCAGCTTCTTGCAGTGTCTTGAAACACCTTCTGCTCTCCTGGCAAAGGCTAACTGTCCACCCCTCCCTCCCTCCTCCAGCTTTAACTGAGACTCAGACCGGCCCAGACTGGCAGACACCTGATTCCACAGCTACCCTGGCTAACTCTTCTTGAGGGCCCCACCGACTACCCCTCCACATCCATCGGGAACCCCCAAGTGGGGCCGGGAGGGGGGCCATAGCCCACCAAGCTCCTGCCCGGCTGGGCCCTGTAGAGGGCAGGGGTGATGAACTCCTACCCCGACATCCTGCCCCTCCCTCAGCCTCACCTTTGTGGTGGGCTTTTTAAAGAGGATTTTAACTGGCTGTGGGGAGGGAAGAGAAGGAAGGACAGGGGTGTGGGGGTAAGAGGACCTTCTACCCCCTTGGTCCCCTCCCCTCCCCAGGCTACCACTCCTTCCCCCCTCCTGTGTCCCTTGTAAATAGAACCAGCCCAGCCCACCTCCTCTTCCCTTCCCTGGCCCCTTGGGTGTAAATAGATTGTTATAATTTTTTTCTTAAAGAAAAACGTCGATTCACACCATCCAACCTACCCCCCTCAGCTGTACCCCCTCTTGTCCTCTGCTCCCAAGGCTCCCACCCTCTCCCCATCCTGGAAGGAGGGAGTAGGGAGAGCCCCTGGTGTCTTAGTTTCCACAGTAAGGTTTGCCTGTGTACAGACCTCCGTTCAATAAATTATTGGCATGAAACCCTTCTTTCTGTCTGGCTGTCTGTTTCCAGAGGTGAGGGGGCTCAGGGTTTAGAGTGAGTTGTACCTCAGGCAGGAGACACTAGTGCTTATCCACCACAGATGTGGAGCCTGTCCATGGGTGGCGCAAACCATGTGCTTCAGCTGGGGGAAGGGTGAGTGTCCAGGGTGATCTGTTCAGAGGGACTGAAACCCGCTCTGAACTTGAGACAGTCAGGACTGAACAAGGGTGTGTCTGCTGCAGGATCCAGTGGGAGCCTGGATGATGAGGGTCTGGAACCAAATGTCTGTCTGTACTTGGTAGTGGGTGTGGCCAGGCAGATTCCCAGGGCTCAACTGTCTGAAGCAGGTACCCGCTTACTTCACTTCTCTTGGGGATGTTGGGAAGTGGGAAGGAGGAAGAGAGCTTAGCTTTTCTCTCTCGCTCTTTCCAGTACAGTCTAAAGTCTGCCTGGAACTGGAGAGGATTCTGCCCAAGGCCCCCAAATGCCGGAGCTGCAGGCTTGTGCCTGGCTCTTTCCCTCGACTTTTAAAATAAGCTGGAGCCAGATGGTGGGGATCATGGGCAGAGGAAATGGTATCTCCACGCGGTGCCAAGCAGTGGGTGGGTAGGAGGCTCTAGCAGGGGAGGGAGCGACTTTGGGTCCTCCTGATGGGTTCTACTGATGGCCAGGAGGGAATTTTGGAACACATCCTTGAGGGATTCTAAGCTTCTGGGCTCTGTTAGATCTTCCATCAGCCCCAGCAGTACCTGTCTACCCGGCAGGACAGATGTTATCCTGCTGTGCAAACCATTTACAACGTAGGGAGAGAATGGCTGGCTTAGGGATGGACCTGCTGGTCGTCTTAGCCCGCTGACCCGAAAGTCTGTACTCAGTTCTGCTCATCCTCCCTTGGACCACTGCCAGCCTCCCATTCTCCTTGCTCTGATCCTGGACACATGACACTCTTCCTGTGACAAGCCTTCAACGACTCACCCCAATTCCAAAGCCGGCGCTTATCTCCTAGAAAGCGCCCAGTCCGGCAGCACTGTCTCACTACTGAGCACTGTGGTCTGCAGAGGCTGGAGGGGGGGGGGGTCCTGCCTCACTGGTCTCCTGAAATCACCTATGTCTGCTTAGGGAGTGGAAGGACACCGTATGACAAACAGAATCCCTTCCTGCATCCAAAGCCCCCTCAAATCCCAAATGCTCTGTGACATTCTCCAAAGAGAATAAATCCCCTGACATCAACTGCTATTTGGGTTTCAGGTCTTGCTCAGAAAAATACAGAGCGACCTAAGAGCTGCATTCAAATCTCACCACACCTCTACCCGGCTTGAGACGGGGCAATTCTCTGTCCTGTTTCCTTACTTGTACAAGACGGCTGACACACAGGGCCATCTCAGACCTGACGGACAATGCTAAGTGTCCTCCTGAGTGTGTGCTGCAATAACTGAATGGCCTGTCTGAAATGTTCTCTTCCACTGCAGATTCCAGCTTTTACTTGAACTGGCGCCACCAGGGGTCTCCCACCCTTCATCGCTTCCCATGGAGGCTTGCTCCTGCTCTCAGGCCCCACTGTCCCTGCCCTGCCCCGCCACAGCCCAGGAACCCTCAGGCCTCACTGGCCTTTGGCCCGTAGCCCCGTGGCACATAGGGAAGCCGCGAACACAGGCTGACTGAACCGGTGGCCGCTCGCAGGCAAGCTGTCTGTACTTCGGTCTTGCTCCCGCTGGACTGAGCGTGCCGGAGTCCAGAGCTGCGTCTGGTTCGCTCCCGGCTGCTCCGCACCACCCAGTCTGAACTGAGTACTGGGGGTGCCTACAGATTTCTTCTCACACTGTCAAAACAGAAGCAAGCCCAGGGGAACTATGTGCCTTCCTGTACCCAGCAGAGCTAAGTCCCAGGCACCCAAAGTCCAGGGAAGGGGGTGGGGGTACAAGCAGACGATCTGAAGAGGTGTGTGAGCGTGTCTGGCACAGGCCTGGCGTACGGATGGTGCTCATAATGGTTACCTGAAGTTGCTGAGCACTGGGTGATGCTGTGCAGAGCCTTGGCAAACCCCCTTCTACAATGCAGCAGCAGGGGTGAGTGGGACCGAGCACACCGCTTCCTTTCACCTTGGGCAGAGAACGGCGACAGGAGAAACCCAGCAGGCTTGTCCTTGTTCTGAGGAGTCAGCAGTTAGAGGAGGCCAGCGGGCTGGATCCTCAGGTGTGGGTGCCAGATCAGCTCACCACAGGGGTCCTCTTCCCCTCTGAGGCACCTATACTCAATCTTGCACCCCGGCCCTACGATGGTCACACAAAGGCGGTGTCCAACTGCAACAAGCCACTCGCTTCACTGGCCCCCAGGGCTGCCTGGCACAGCTGTAGCGTGTCCTCCAGTGCCAGTGGCTGGGACGTCTCGATGATGGCGATGGTCTCCCCAAGCTCTGTGCACATGATAGTCTGCTGAGGTTCAGGGGTTGGGGGTGGGACCGGAGAGGGGGAGCGGGGAGGCTGTAGTGTCAAAGTCCTGGCTCGGGCATGGACCCGCTGATGCAGCCGGAGGCCGGCCATGGCACGGAACCAGCGGCCGCAGGTCCCGCAGTAGTAGGGACTCTTGTTGTAGAGCCCGGTGATGGGAAGGCGAGGGGGCGCGCGCAAAGGCCACCGGCCGCAGGTGCAGCCGCCGGTGCTGCTGCAGGTTGGAGCTCTGTGTGAAGCGTTTGCCGCAGTCCAGGCATTGGTAGGGACGCACGCCCGTGTGGGTCAGCTGGTGGCGGCTGAGGTTGGCTAAAGAGGCAAAGGTCTTGCCACAGGAGTGACACTGGAAGGGTCTCTCGCCTGTGTGCGTCCGCAGGTGGTTGCGCACATGCACCAACTTCTTGAAGCCCTTGCCGCAAACCCCGCACCTGTGCCGGCGCTCAGGGGGGGCAATGCACCGCACGCCGGTGCCGGGAGAGCCGGGAGGCTGAGGCGAAGGACTTGGGGCACTGTGGACAGGGCAGCTGGGCAGGTGGGGGCGGAGGTGGGGGCGGGGGCTCGGCCGGCGCCGGGGAGACAGCTGCTACCCTGGTGGGGGTGCCACTTTTCCCAGTGTGGGTTCGCCGGTGGTAGAGGAACTTGGTCATGTTGCTGAAGGTCTTCCCACAGCGACAGCGGTGCAACGGGTTGGCCGTGTGGGCTCGCCGATGGGCCACCAGCGTGAGCTCCGTGCCAAAGCCACGGCCACAGTCCACGCAGAGGTAGCGGGCCTCGCCGCGGTGCAGCCGCTGGTGCTGCTCCAGGGAGGCTGCCTTCTTGAAGACCTTGGAGCAGGCGGTGCACTCATGGGTACCGCCCACGTGGGCACGACCGTGAGCCACCAGCCGGTTGGCAGAGCTAAAGCTACGCTGACACTGGCTGCAGCGGAACGGGTGGGCGGCGGATGCTGGGCCGCGAGATGCCCGTCGGTGCGGGCGGGGAGCGCCCGGAGAGCTACAGTGCTGGGGGCAATCCCCACAGCCCTGAGGCGGATCAGCTGCGGACTTGTCCCCTCCCATATCATCAGCAGGGAGCTCTGCAGCTGCTACCTCCTCATCCGTGTCTTCTTCATCCTCCTCCTCCTCCTCCTCTTCCTCTAACCCATTGCGCTCTTCTTTCTCCAGGGAGTCAAAGTGGGTGCCCTGATGCTCCAAGAACTCTTCAGGGGTGGCACACAGAGTGGAACACTCAGGACACTCATACGGCTCCATCTTGACTTCTGGCGGCGGCGGGGGCGGCGTTGGGGGCGGCAAAGGAGGGGGCACGGGTGGCTCGTCTGCCGGGCTGGGAAGGTGCTGAGTCTTGCGATGAGCTACCCACAGCTCGGGGGAGGGGAAGAGCTCCTGGCAGTCTCCACACTGGTACTGGATCTGGCTTGCAGACTCCTGCAGGTGGGCATCCTGGTGTGCCAGGAGCTCACTGGGGGAGAGGATAAGCTGGCTGCACTCTCCACACTGGAAAGGGCCGTCCCCGGGGCCAGGCGCCGGCTCAGGCTCCAGGCCCGTGTCCTGGGCGGTGAGCGCCTCCTCCTCTGACAAGGTGGGCAGGTGCTGCTCCTGGTGGGACAGGACTTCCTCCAGGGTGTTGTAGAGGCTGCCACACTCGGAGCACATGAACTGGTGGTGTTGGAAGAAGAGGGAGGAGGCGAGCGCCTCCCCAGGGGTCATCTCGGCCACCGCTGTGGCCGTCTCTGCCAGCTCTCCTGACACGGGAGCTGAACTTTCCACCGCTCCTGGTGACTGTATTAGCATCTCAGCTGCCTCTGCCACCATCTCTGCCATTATGGGGAGGGCAGTGCCTGCAGAAAGAGGGGCAGGAGCCGGTGTTAACGCTGGGAACCCCAGGGGAGTGCGATGTCTGGGGAGTTCCCTTGCTCATCCCATTACTCACCAGCCTGTCAATCAAGTCCTGCTTCAATGCTCGCACCTCGGCCTATCACAGCCACTACAGCCAGGTATCTGCAAGAGAGGGTGGGCACTCTGGAGCCTGGCCTCTGATGCTGCCCCCCAGAGGCCCGGAGACAGCCTTTCTGAGAACACTCTCTCTCTCTGATCGCTCAACCATCGCCCAGGAGGTTTCCTCTCTGTGTAACACCTTTCCTCTCTAGTAACCTCAAACAGCAAACACTTAAGAGGAGAATGGGCGCTGGACCTCCCTCAGCTTCAATCTGAGCCCCTCACACCCTTTTGTTTCCTTTTAGAGACAAGGTTTCTCTGTATTGTTTTGGAGGCTGTCCTGGAACTTGCTCTGTAGACCAGGCTGGCCTCGAACTCACAGAGATCCGCCTGCCTCTGCCTCCCGAGTGCTAGGATTAAAGGCGTGCGCCACCAACGCCCGGCTCTCCCTTTTACTTGCTCTCTCTTGAGACAGTTCTCTCCTGCAAAACGGAATTAAAGGTCGGACTGACCACAAGGCTAAGGCACTTCATTAACAAAAGTCAACACCTGGGTTTGTATGCCACCCAGGCTAGCCTCAAACTAGATATGCCCTAGAGGATGCCTGTGAAGTGACCCTTCTGCCTCAGCTGCCTCAGGACTGGGATCACAGGTGTACACTATCACACTTAGCACCTGGAATATAAAACTCTCAAATCTTGCCAAGTGGCGGCAGCGCACGCCTTTAATCCCAGCACTCAGGAGGCAGAGGCAGGCGGGTCTCTGTTAGTTCCATGACAGCCAAGGCTACACAAAGAAACCCTGTCCCCCACCCCAAACCAAAACAAACAAAACAAAACCCAAACCAAAACAAACAAAACTTCTCAAATCCTTCCACTCCATGTTCTACCCGATGTGCTCTTTGTCTGGTTTCAACCCAACCCTGAACCCACCTTAAACCTAGGAGCCAGCCTTCTGATCCAACCCCCATCTTTTTAAGGACATTTTATTTTATTATACTTAGTTATTAGGCGAGGGCATATGCACGGATGACAACTTGCTGGATTTGGTTTCCCTTCTATCACTGGGTCATCAGTTTAGTGCCAATTGCCTTTACCAACTAAGCCATCTTTAGCCTCTCCCCCCCACCATTTTTCTGCTTATGTTATTGTGTGCCTGTATCATGAGTACATGTCATGGCATACGTGTGGAAGTCACAGGACAACTCTGTGGAGTTCACTCTCTCCTCCCACATTTATGTGGGTTCTGAGGATTGAATTTGGGTCACCAGAGTTGCGTGGCATGCACTCTACCTGCTGGGCCATCTTTCCAGTCCCTGGTTTCGGTTTTTGTTTTTGAAATGGGCTCCTGCGTCCCGAGGCTGGCCTTGACCTTAGTGTGCACACAGCAAAGTCTGGTTCTCAGCCCTGATTCCTCTGCCTCCCAAGTGCCAGTGGCCATCTTCTTTACCTCTTCGTTTTGTGCCAAAAGCACTTAGACTTTAGCTTGCAGCCCTGGTACAGAAGCTGCTCATGGACTGATCCCCCGTGGGCAGGAACTTTAGCCCCTTTATCACTGAGGCGCTTCCAGTGCCAGGGAAGGCACATGATCTCAGTACGCAGCACACAGTAGGTACACAGAAGTATTCAGTAACTAGTCAGGACTGGTGGTGCACACTTTTAGTTCCCGTACTCGGGAGGCAGAAGCAGGCGGATCTCTGTGAGTTCCAGGCCAGCCTGGTCCACAGAATTCATTCCAAGACAGGTTCCAAAGCCACAGAGAAACCTTGTCTTGCCGGGCGGTGGTGGCGCACACCTTTAATCCCAGCACTGGGGAGGCAGAGGCAGGCGGATCTCTGGGAGTTCGAGACCAACCTGGTCTACAAGAGTGAGTTCTAGGACAGCCTCCAAAGTCACAGAGAAGCCCTGTCTCAACCCCCCCCCAAAGTATTCAGTGACTGAATGAGGCTCCCTATAGGAAGTGAGACCATGTGACTTTCACTATCCCTGTGCACACAACACTTCCATCAGTTCAACTCTTCCATTCTACGTGTTTCCGTAACACACAGCCCAGCACAAGGCCCTGTTTTTAGCTGGTGCCCAATAAATGTTCCATGAAGGAATGATTTGCTAAATGTTCAGGAGATAAACTTCATTCACCAACTCCACACCCCCCTGTTAAGGAGGGTTTTGTTGGGTGACGTCTAGCCCTGGGCGGTCTAGAACTCACTAAGCAGAGCAGGCCGGCCTCAAACTCACGGAAACCTACCTCCTTCTACCTCTCCAGGGCTGGCACTGAAGGCATGAGCCACTACGCCTGGCTCCTCAGAAGTGAGAACCATTCCATAAAGGATTTTCCTAGAAACAGTCAGACGGGCCTGGGGGTGGGGGTGGGGGTGGGGGGGTAGAAGGTGGAGGGTTGCATTCTGCCTTGACTGCATCTTCACTGACAAGACAGAACTACCCCCGGGGGTCGGATCAGAACACGCTACTTGGCTTGTACCAGGAAAGGAGCGAATGGACAAACTTTACAAAGTATGGATGAGACAATCCACCAAGTGCTCTCTGGATCTCGTCTAGCCAGCAAAACCCTTCCAAAGCTCATTTTACGACACGGACACGATCCTAATACATGTCTTTCTAGAAAGCAGCCCGGGTAACCTGAGATCGGCACTCTGCTCGCCTGCACTCCTCTCCCCCAGTCTTACACGGTGTCGGGGTACGGTAGGTGGAACTTAGCTTAACCCTCTGGACACGGAAAGTAGATCTATCTGAGCACCCCCACCGGGGGCCGGAAAGTTCAACTTTCCCGCTAACCTGCCTTTTTCTCCTACCAGACTCCCCCGCGCGGCAGCGTGAGGGCCCCCTGCAGGGGTGGGGTGTGCCAGCGAGCTCAGGCTGGGTCCTGCCCACACCGTGGGCTCCACCGACGCCTCCAGGGCACACAGGAAGGAGCTGTCGATCATCGCGCGCCACTCCAGCCCTAAGCGCAGGCCCCAAGGCTCTCCGACCCCTTAGTGTGCCCGTCCTTCTGCCTCCACTCTCGCCCTGCGCCCGGCGCTCTCCTCCCCGCCCGCCCCGCGGCGCCATCGCCCACCTCCCTTACCTCCGAGCAGCCCCTGCCGCTCTTGACACGGACCCTCCACACCAGGCGTGCGGGACCCCTCACTATCCACGCCTCCCATTGGGCGGCGCTCCCGCCCGAGGCAGCCAATCAGAGCCCGTCGCGCAAGGCCCGCGCCCCTGCGCCTGCGCGTTGGTACTCAGGCGGGGCTTCGAGAGTTTCTCCACGCAGACATCAGCAGCCGGTGGGCGGTGTCCCGGCCCAGGAGAGGCGCCTGCGCAGTTCTCCCGGGCCGCTCCTTGGCTGCGATTTGAAAACTCCGCGGAGACAAGTGGGCATGCTTATGGAGAGGAGGAGGTCTCCTAAGTGACCCGGGCTACGCGAGACTTTGACAGGTGGCCTGTCTTAGCGGAAGAGACTGAGCGTCTCTGAAGCATCGCTGCAAAGCCAGACACGCTTGAAGAGCTTTTCCTGGGCCGCCTCAGTTTTGCTCATATGTCAAGTGGGCTTGAGTCACACCAGCCTGGAAGGCCTGGAAGGCTAGCAGGTAAAACAAAACAAAAACAAAAGCAGAAACAAAACGCGTTCAGCCCAGGGCCTGACACACTGTGGGTACCCAGTGTGAGCCATCTAACAGAGAAGCCCTCCCCGCTTCCAAGCGGCTTTCCCCTCCTCCTAGTCTTCGTCTGATTCACTGGTATTCACACCGAGGGTACCGCCGTCTGTTTCACAGGTGGAGATGCCAAGGCCTAGGGAAAGGAAACAGCCGGTGTGAAGCCGGTGCCTCCCGCCTCGCAGGGAGATAATTCCGGGGGTGGAAACCAGTCCGAGAAGAGACCTGGCCCAGGCACGTGCGGGCCCTGACCTTGAGTCACCTAAGTGGGCAGGAGGAGCAGCCGTCACGCCCCAGGCCCCGTGGCCTCCACTTCTGCGACGGCCTTGCAGGCGAGGGGAGCCTCTGAGTGACGCCGAGACTCGAGGGCAGAGTAGGGACTGTCTGACCCTGGGTGTGGGGGGTCTGGGACCTCGGAACGTGCACACGGGGCTGAGGGGTCTGTCGCGTTTCGGGGCGGGGTATCATTGTCGTGCGCGCTACTGGAGGATCGGTACATCGGGGCCGGGGAGCTGGGTGAGGGTTTCCAGATAAGATCTGAGACAGCAAGAGTTGGGACGGAGATTCCTGGAAGCCACCTGAGAACTGGGGGCAGGGGCGCTTTTAATCCAAGTCCGGGTGATGAACTCTGCGCGCTCCTGGGAGCCCTGACCGTCGTGACTTTGTTGTACTTTGCGCCCGCAGCTGGTGACGTTGATCATGTGGGCGTTTAGGTCGTGACCAGGAGGGGGGTGTGGTCTGTGGGATGAATAATCCCAACAGATCACGGCGTGGCATCCGAGGGACACTCTCGGCGACTTAGATCACGATCGAGGCGCCCGCAGCGGCGAAGTTCTGCTGCGGCGCACGCGCGGCGCAGGCGAGCCGGGGACGCTTCGGTTGGGGGGCGGATCAGGCGGCCTGGAGGGGTGGAGCTTGGAGTCCTCATTCCGCGCTTGCGCCGTAGGGGCGTGGCGGTCGCACCTGCTCGAGTTGGGCGAAGGAGGAGGAGCGAGGTGACGCAGGCGTAATAATAGAGAAGGTGCCAGAAAGAGCCAAAACAAGTGGCCACGGCCGTCGCCCGGGAGCCATCGGACGCCGGGATCTATCTGGTGAGGATCCGGAGTGGCCTAAGGGCGACTGGTGGCGGGTAGATGGAAACACTTGGGGTCGGCCGCCTTCCGGGGCGAGCGGCCGGCTTCAGACGGTGCCACCTGTGTGGAGCTCGGGGCTGTCTTGGTCGGTCCCACTTGCGGAGGACCGAGGGTCACTTAGGAGCGGTGCCACTTGCGTGGGGCGTTGGGGCTACCTGGGAGGTACGGGTGGACAGAACCAGGGGCCCCGGCTGGACATTAGCTTCCCAAAGTCACCGGGCAGCGGACAAGGTGCCCTGCGAGGGGCCGCAAGGCTCATTCGGGCTCAGCTCCTGGGTCTGTCGGTGGCAGGTTCGGAACATACCACCTGGAGAGGGGCGGCTGGGCTCGGCTGGCCCGGCTGGCCGGTGGACCCATGGGGTCCGGCGTCTCCACCCGGTTACTAGGGGACCTCGGGTGATACCATTCCTGTCCGTGGGAGGGGGAGGCTCAGACTGTCGCGGGTGTGGGGTGACCCTGCCCGGAGACGTCTCGCGGCGGGGGGGGGCACACGCTGGCCTGTGTGGGCTCTGGGCCACCGCGTCGCTGACCACGACATCCTCCCCGCCGTGTGGGTTCTAGGCCCTGGTTCTGAGCTTGTTCCGCACCCCTCCCCTGGGAATGGCGTTGTCCGGGTCGACCCCAGCCCCGAGCTGGGAGGAGGATGAGTGTTTGGATTACTACGGCATGCTGTCGCTTCACCGTATGTTCGAGGTGGTGGGCGGGCAGCTGACCGAGTGCGAGCTGGAGCTCCTGGCCTTCCTGCTGGATGAAACTCCCGGCGCTCCCGGAGGCCTGACCCGCGCCCGCAGCGGCCTGGAGCTGCTTCTGGAGCTGGAGCGCCGCGGGCAGTGCGACGAGAGCGACCTGCGGCTGCTGAGCCAGCTCCTGCGTGTGCTGGCCCGCCACGACCTGCTGCCACATCTGGCCCGCAAGCGGCGCCGGCCAGGTAAGGTTTGAATGGGAGGATGCAGGACTTCAGGGACACCTTGCACCTCCTGGGACCTGTGGTGCCTTTATACGGGTTCCAGCCCGCCCACCCCCTCCCCTTCCACAACGAGAAACCCAAAGGGGATGAGGGCAAAACGTAGGTTCGGATCGAGTTTGTGGAATTTGTCCTTATCACAAATGGTTGTGGCCATTGTGTGTGGAACTCTGTATGCCAGGCAAGAGGTTAACCTTTCATACAAACTGTCACTTTCTAACTTCCCCACACCCCCCACAGGGAAAACAACAGACTCAGAGAAGTTACCTTACCGCATGTGAGAACGGCATCCTTCATGTTGGCTACAAATAAGGCCAAGATGTCCATTCCATCAGTAGAGGGAGTCACTTAATAACAAATAAGGAATTTAGCTGTAGATACAGTCATAGATGAGTGAGGTGGGTGGGATGCCTCAGAGTAAGGGGAGGTAGCCCTGAACTGGGTAAGGATGGAGGAATATTCTTCTATTCTGCCTGGCCCGTGTCCAAGGCTGAGACCCTCGGTCCTTGGCAGAAAGGGGAGAGCTGGGAGCGGTCAGGTACCAGGAGGCCTGTGTATAGGTAGGCTCTTGGGCTCTTTCTTGAGAGATACAGCGTGACAGTTGGGGTGGGGGGATTGTGAGTTTTCCTGTACCATACTAAGCCTGTGGGATTTGCTTAAACAAAAAGGAGGGCACCTCTAGAGATAGGCTGTCTTAATTTTGGAAAAATATGTCTGAGCGTTAGAGAAACAGAAAGGCCTATTGTATCTCGGGGCTCCAGATTGGGCCAGGAGCAGGTGGGGACATTGCAGGGCCCCTAAAAGAAAAGTCTGGAGCTGTTGGCATGGTTGGGCATCCCACGAGCACTGTCCTGGGAGGCCTTAGCAGGAGGTACTTGAGAAGGAGGCGTGTTTAGGCGTGACCTCTGAGGGACTGGGGTCAGGCACCCTGCGGTACAGGCGTTCTTCCTAGGAAGCTGGCCTGGGAGGTGAGGAAACTGTGACTGCTTCTTCTGTTCCCTTTCCCCAGTGTCCCCCGAGCGATACAGTTATGGCAGTGCCGGCTCTCCTTCCAAAATCCCAGAGGGCGGTTGCCGGCGTCGGCGACAGTCAAGCAGTTCTGATTCTCAGCAGAGTCAGTGGGGTACAGGTGAGTCCCCCGGGTGGGTAGGGTGGCAGTGTCCCTGTCTTCTTCCCAAACTGGCATCGTGGCCCATCCAGGAAATGACCTGAAGGGTCATCCTGACTGTTTTGCAGCGTGCCTGTGTTTATTATCGCTATAGGAAGAAGTGTGTGTCCCCAAGCAACAGAGTTGTGTCACGTGGACTCACGTGACCTGGCAGCCTTGGCTGGGCACATTTCTGAGATTTATTTTATGGTGAATGTCTTTAATTAGTTCAGTTACTGTATTCTAGTCAGTGTACACAATCCCCCTAATTTTTAATTGTGTGAAATTTCAAACATCCAGAGAAGATAAGGTAGTACAGAGAATATCTTTGGTTGGATTCAGGAATCACTAACATTCTGCCTTTTGTGCTGTATGCATGCATGTGTGTGTGTGTGTGTGTGTGGAAAATTCTGAGGTTTTTGTTGAGTTCTTTGGTAGTAAATTATAAACAATAACAGACTTGCCTCTGAATTAGCTGGCATAATTTTCTTTTAATTCTTTTGGTTTTTTGAGACAGGGTTTCTCTATGGCTTTGGAGGCTGTCCTGGAACTAGCTCTTGTAGACCAGGCTGGCCTCGAACTCACAGAGATCCGCCTGCCTCTGCCTCCCGAGTGCTGGGATTAAAGGCGTGCACCACCACTGCCTGGCCCAGAGTGTTTTGTGTTTGACTTGTTTGTCTGCAGGGTTGACTGGTGTGTACAGCATTCCGATTGCTTTTGGTCGTCCCATGATGGTGACCTGTCTCTTGTCTCTGTTTTCCCATGGAGAGGTAATTAGGTGGGATGGGTTGGTTAGATGTGGGTTCCATGCTTTTGGCAGGAATGATCAATACTGTCTCCTTGTGTTGGTGCCTGTGAATAGGGAAGTGTGGTTAGTTAGTTATGGCAAGATGTGTGTGTGTGTTGACGTGTGGTATGCTTATCATATGTGTGTCAGTGTGTAGGTCCACGTGCATATATATGGAGAGGCTACAAGTTGGCACCAGCTGTCTTCCTACTTCACTCTGTTTACTGGACAGGGTCTCTGACTGATCCTGGAGCCAGCTTGCCCTGGGAACCCTGTCTCTGCCTCCTGAGCACTGGGGCTGCTGGCGGGCCTCCATGCCCTCCTCACGGGCATGTGCTGCTTGGGCAGCAGGTACATTATGGACTGAAGCACCTGTGTGGCTGGGTGCAGACATGCACTTTCTATTTGTTGTCACTAGTGCGTAAGAAAATGCCTTTAGGTGCTGTGTGCTCACTCTCCCTCCAGGGGTATAGCATCGCTCTGTGAGCCCGCCTGAACCAGTTGCCACGTTGATGTTTGTAAATGGGGACTCATTTATTTATTTGCTTGTTTCTTTGGCAACTTTTTTATGAAAATAGTCTTGTTACAGGTTCTCTGTTGCCCATATCCCCTTGCTTCAGCTTACCTAGTAGCTGGGATTACTGGTTTGTGCCATGAGGCTGGAACAAAGAGTTATTTTAAATAATTGTCACGTTTTTGTTTTTAATTATTTCCTGTTTTTATGGTACTAGAGATTAAACCCAGGACTTCTCCCACCCCCCAGACAGGGTTTCTCTGCATTGTTTTAGAGGCTGTCCTGGCACTTGCTCTGTAGACCAGGATGGCCTCGAACTCACAGAGATCCACTGCCTCTGTCTCCTGAGTGCTGGGATTAAAGGCATTCACCACCAACGCCCAGCTTAAACCCAGGGCTACTACTAGGCAAAGGCTAAGCGCCGAAAGCCTTATTGTGGGATTTTTAGGTAGGAGCTCTACAATTGAGCTACTCTGTAGCCCTTCTTTTCTCTTTCCAATTTAACAACAGGGTATCACTAAGTAGTCCTGGCCAGCTTGAAACTCACAGAGATCCGCCTGCCTCTGCCTCCTGAGCTCCAGAATCAAAGGCGTGTGCCACCACCGCCCAGCTTTACTTTATTAAAGTCAATTAGTCATTCCTACCAGCGTTCAGGTTGCTTAGGCTCCGCCCTTTTTGACCTGACTGCATCACTCTCGACATTCCTAGGTGTCCTGGACTCCCCTTGCACTCCTCCCCCCAGTCATGTGCTTGTCAAGGAGCCTGGTGTCTGTTAGAGGCCTGAATAGAGACCAGTAGCTGATGCAGTCGGTGTGGGGTCTGTATCTCAGCTGCATGGGGAAACAGACGCCTGCCTTCAGAACAAGTTCCTCCGAGCTGGTTTGGTGGCTTTTAAGTTTACTTTTAATTATGTGCGCGTGTATGCGTTTGGGTTTGTGCACTTGAGTGCTGGCTCCCAAGGAGTCCAGAAGAGTAACGCGCACAGTAACTGCTGAGCCCTCTCCTGGGCCCTGGGCTCATTGCTTTTCTAGTGGAAGTCTTGGCTGTTGATGCCGAGATGGGTTTACTTCTTTTGTTTTTCAACAGTAATGAGGTGACAACAAATCTTATCTATAGAGGTTCATTTGTTCCTAATGTATCCTTCCAGGGCTTGCAACAAGAGGAACATGTGAGGACTGTTCTGATTTCCTTCTCTCTGCCAAGAGCTGCTAACTCTACACATTCATTTTGTTACACCTTTTCTTCCTTTTTTGCGAACTTTTCCAACTCTGCTTTCCTTTAAAATCATACTGCGTGCATGCCTGCGTGTGAGCAAAAGACAGACAGACAGACAGACAGACAGACAGACAGACAGAGTGTGCTGGGAATTGCAGTTCATAGCCCACACATGTGGAAGTCAGAGGCCAACTCTGTGGAGTGGTTTCTCTTCCCACCTTTATGTGGTTCCAGAGGTTGAACTCTGGTCACCAGGTTTGAGCAGCAAGCTTCTTTACCTACTGAGCCATCTCTCTGGCTCTCTTTCTGGTGTTATTTTGGTTCCAAGGCAGGGTTTTGTTGTGTAGCCCAGACTGGCCTGGAATTCCTTGATCTTCTAACTCAGCCTCACTCCCCACTGTCAGCATCTATTGGATGGAGCACAAAATGGGTTTGTATTTATTGAGGGGGGAGGAGGAGAGAGAGAGAAAACGGACATTCGCATGTATGCATACATGCATCTTGAGACAGAGTCCCACTGTGTAGACCAGACTGGCTTTGAACTCACAGGGATCCACCTTGAGTGCTGGGATTAAAGTTGTGCCCAGGCCACTGCTTTGTAGGGCAGATCCAGCTGAGTGTGCATTCACAGTGTTCCTAGGTACCCGGCCTAACTCCTTTGTCAGAGTTTGGCGTTACCGATTGTGAGCACTTATGTTCATTTGTTTCTGTGTGACTCTGTCCTTTCTATTTTTCATTTTAAGTGTATAAAGCAGTTACATGACCCAAAAGGTAAAGCTAAAAGCATTTCAGGGCGTCCATCTGCAGCCAGCTTCAGTTATTCTAATGTGTCCTTTCGGGGCTTCCAGGGAAAGTCCCAGATGTAGGAAGTGTTCTGATTCCCTTCTTCGGGAGTTGTAAACTGTACACATGATTAACTCTGTGTTCTGACATTCTTTCTTCCTGGTCTTGAGCTGGCTTCTCCTCTTGTCTTCCAGGCTCCCCTCCAACCAAACGGCAGCGTCGGAGTCGGGGCCGCCCTAGCAGTGGTGCCAGGCGGCGGCGGAGAGCAGGCTCGGCGGCTGAGCAGCATCAGGAGCTGGGCAGGCCCTCATCGGAGGGAAAAGTGACCTGTGGTAAGTACTCGTGGGCCTTGAGAGAACTTGTAAAGTTCTTCCGGACTCCAGTGTCTAGGCTGCAGGAACACGGATGAGGGAAACAGCAGCCAGGCTGGTGTGACACGGAGTCAGTGGGGACAGGGGACCCTCTAGTCTCTGTGGAAGAACGAGCTGGAGGGAACTGTTGAGGGAGCTGAGAAGGTGGCCCTGTCTGACTTCTGTGCAGTGTCCCGTGGCGTTGAGTGTTGGAAGGAGAGGCTTTGTGGGCGGAGACAGGTCTGTACTGTATTCTGGGGTTACAGGAACCCCAGACGGTTCACGTGCCGTTTCTTTCCCGTCATTTTTCCTGTTGAGCATCTCTTCTTCATCAGGCACAGCTCTAGGCATGGAGGACACAGAAGTGGACCAGGTCAGGAAGTCGTGTGCTGAGTGGATAACCAGGAGTACACCGAGGCTTCATGGGATCTCAGCTGACAGATAGCCAGGGATGGGCTCTGGTGGGCCTGCAGGGACACCTGTGGATGGACTGAGGCCGAGTGATGTCGGCAGGGGTCCTCAGTGGGGACCATCAGATGAGCAGCCAGTGCACTAAGAAGGGGTTCTGGAAGCCGGAGGTCCCAGACCGCAGCTGATGTGCCGACCTTGGCAGGATCCGCAGGAGGCCTTGGCCTGGAATCCGCAGAGCAAGCATGCACAACCTGCCCCTCCCGCTGCTGTGTGGCCTCCCAGGCAGTGGGTGTTGCCCCCGCTTCAGAGATGAGGTGGCAGATACCTGTGCCAGGGGCACAGCATAGCCAGCCTATGTCCTCACCGGGGTGCTGGCTTGAGGGGGCGGCTGCCCAGTGAAGGGAGTCAGGCAGTTACCACAGCCACCCAACTGGCTGGGTAGGTGAGGGAGCCACTGCCCTGAGGGCCAGGGAGACCTGAGCAGGACCCTCCAGGCTTTGGTCTCCTCCCTGAGGCCAGAAGGTTGTTAGCTGGGGTGTGGCTGGGATCTGAAGGACCATGAAATGCTAGTCTGATGCTGAGTCACCAAGCAGGGTGGGGCTGGCCTGCGTTCTCCCTAAGGGGCCCCAGTTGTCTTCTGAAAAATGGGTATGACTTACCTTTAACATGGCAGTGAACCCTTCCGGGTCTGACTGAGGAGGGGCCGGGCCATTCTTTTTTTGGTTTTTACGAGACAGGGTTTCTCTGTATTGTTTTGGAGGCTGTTGGTCCAGCCTGGCATGGAACTCACAGCGATCCGCCTGCCTCTGCCTCCCGAGTGCTGGGATTAAAGGCGTGCGCCACCACTGCCCCGGCAGGATTTTTTTTTTAAAGATTTATTTATTTATTATGAACACAACATCTGCACGCCAGAAGAGGACACCAGATCTCATTACAGATGGTTGTGGGCCACCATGTGGTTGCTGGGAATTGAACTCAGGACCTCCGGAAGAGCAGTCAGTGCTCTTAACCTCTGAGCCATCTCTCCAGCCCTTAAGTTTAGGATTTTTAAAAAATGATTTAATTTTATTTTATGTTCATTGGTGTGCCTGCATGTGTATGACGGTGTCAGAAATGCAGTTACAGACAGTTGTGAGCTGCCATGTAGGTGCTGGGAATTGAACCTGGGTCTTCTGGAAGAGCAGCCAGTGTTCCCAACCTCTGAGCCATCTCTTCGGCCCCCAAAGTTTTGGAGTTTGAAAATTATTTTTATTTTAATTTTTAGAAGGATAGTACACCATGGCTTAGGCTTCCTTGAAACGCCAAATGTAGCCCAGGCTGGACTTGAACTTGTGACAGTTCTCCTGCCTCATCCTTTTACGTGTGCCCCACTCTCCGCTGATGTCTGTGCTTCCCAGGCCCTCTTCTGGTGTTGTCGTGGTCCTCCATCAGGAAGCATGGTTACCTGCTCCCTCTGAAGTTCCCTAGCTTCAGAGAAGCTTGTTTCGTTCAGCGGGAGATGCAGGAGTTGGCACTCAGGGAAGATAACCCGGGAAAGACTGAGTGACTCCAGTCAGGACGCAGAGCCAGGCAGCTTGGGTGGGAGCTCAGCGGTCGACTCCAAGGGCAGTTGCTAGCCCTCGTTGTGGTGGTTTTTCCATGGAGGCCCCTTGAGTTGCGGAGTTTAGATCTTTGTCTCCAGCCCGCCCGTCCAGGAAGTCCACAGGAGACTCACCCAGGGCTGTCGGACACTCCGGTTGGAACCTGCTCCTCCGTGGAGCCTTAGCCTGTCCCGGCCAGGTCGTCCCTGTCAGGCCTGCCTCCTGTGCCTGTCCCTTCCGTCCTGAGTGGCTCTGTCCTTGTCCCCACCAGCTTGTCACTCACACAAAGCAGCTGTAGTAGGCTTCACTGAGGCATGTGGCCTTGTCCTCCCATGTCAGCCATGCTTGGGACCCAGTGCTCACCGAGGCCCTGGGAGGGCAGTGCTACTGGGAGACCACTGAGCCGTGGAGAGGTGTGGTCGCCTCCAGACATCTACGGCAGGTTGCTCCTGGGGCCTCTCCTACCTTCCCGCCGCACTGCCCCCGCTGCTGGTGGCTGACCTAAGCTTTTTCTCCCTGCACATTCTGGAATGTTCTTCTCTTCCTGTTTCTCTGGTGTTCCTGGCTGATTCAACATGTCTTCCTCTCGGCTCACTTCAAGTGCCATTTCCTAGAGAGGAACTGCAGTCTTTGTAAATTGTAAGTCCCTGCCTATCATTTTCCCTCCTGGCCTCAGGATGCCTTCTAATTACGTGTTTATGTGGGCTTGTAGGAGAGGCAGTGGACGGGGTTGGGTCTTAAGAGCTTGGGCTCTGAACACAGCCGGGCATCTCAGGTGGAATTCTGGAGTGGTCTGGCTAGGTGATTCATCCTGTTTGTCTGTTTCCTCATCCGCAAACGGGAGGCCTAGAATCGCCTTGTAAAGCCATGGAGGTGATCAAGGCTCGGGACCCGATGCGTGCCGTGCTGGGGCAGCCCGCAGTCGAGTCACTCAAGCGTCACCTCCTTACGCTGGCTCAGGCTCAGAGAGAAGCCTGGTGAGCAGGTGACTCAGGGCCAGGGTGTAGCTGGCAGGTGGAGCTCACTGGGAGCCTCCTGTCCTTCCTGTTCCCGTGCTGCCATCTGTTTCCAGGTCAGAGGCGGACTGTGGGCTGGCAGGGCCTTTCCTCCTCTGCAAACGGCCCTCATGGAAGCACCCGAGGATTAGACCAGACAGCTTGAGTCGTGGTACTCCGTCAGCGTCCTCTGGTACTCTGTTGTGTCCCCCACATGCGGCAGAGGACTCTGAGTGTGTGGTGACTTCATTGTTGCTCAGCGGTCTCTGTGCTATGGAGGAGAAGGGTCAGGCCTGGCTGGGCTGGAAGGGGGTCCCTGGTGCCATGCTTTTCTGGGCGAGTGGGTGTCTTCTGGGCAGAGGAAGTGGGCCGGTGACTCTGATGGCGTGAGGGGTATTTTGTGGTGGCAGCAGGCGGGGCATGGGAAGGTGGGACAGTGGCTGAGAGAGTTGGAGGAGATTGACATAGAGAGGCTGGGGTCTGGGCAGGAAGCAGCCAGGTGGGTTTTGAAATCACAGTTCCTGATTGTGCGGCCTTCCGTGTGCCGCGAGCCCCCGTCAGGGAAGTTGCTTCATTTAACCCTGGTGGCCACCGTCCTGCAGGGACCTCTTGTTTCTTGTGTTTTTCAGATGAGGACACAGGCTCAGAGAGGTGAGGTCACAGGCCCGAGCCCCACAGCTAGTATGGCAGAGCTGGGACTCACTTTCAGGTCTGTGGGGGCTCTACCAGCTGCCTCTGCCCAGCCCTGTGTGGCCTTGGGCGGTCCTGTTTCCCCAACTCCCCTGTCTCCACCGTCAGTTGGGAAGGTGTGGTCAGGGCTTTAGAGCCCAGGATGGGGGCCCAGGAGCAGGTCTGGGAACCAAGCCTGGGGGGACATCCCTGGGCCTCCAGTGGAGAGGATGCTGTTCCCCTCAAGGCAGAAAGAGGAAGGGTTTGGGGCAGGGACGCAAGTGAGTGTGGTAAGAAATCATCTGGGGTCCTGGGGACCCGCCTTCTGCTTCCGCTCTCTCTGAACTGCTGTGAAAGGTGACAGGAGCCCACAGCGTTAAGACTCGTCTTCTCAGGGCATTGATTTCCCGTTGGGCTGAAGGTGGCCCCTGACCTCTGGGTTAGGGCATGTGTCAGTCACTTGGCATTTCACAGCGCTGGCCACAGTGGTTTCCGGAGCGCCCGCTGTGCCGCGGCTTCACCGGTGGCTTCTTACTTTCTGCCCACGTTGATTTCCTCTTGAACAGCTCTTCAGGCAGGGACGCCCTGGTCTAGGTGGGGACCTGTATTTGCAGAGGCTTTCACTTGCCCGGGGTACAGCAGAGGTCTAATAACTCCTAGCCACACTGATTCCTGCCCTTAGAGGAGCCTGTGTCTAGCCTGTCTGGATCGAGGAGACTCTGCCGGGCTGTGTGACCTTGGGCTAGTCACTCTGGTCCTTTTCGCTTCCACTTCCAAGTTGGTAAACAGGGCTGTGTGTGAGTTGAGCTCTGTGGTTCGGGCACTTGGGGTTCAGGACGTTGGTCAGTTCTCAGTGTTGGCTGCCGCGGTCCCCAAGCTGGCTGGACCTTGCACAACTGTGTCAGGGATGAAGACGCAGCACTGTTAACAGCCTCCCATGGGGACGTGGATTCCCCAGAGGAGAGGTGGCTGGCCCAAACTCATGCTAGCATGGACTGTCTTTGAAGCCCTGCCTCTGTCCCCTGGGCAGATGTAGGTAGAGACTAAGTGACAGAAACTTACCTCAAAGGGCTTACGTAAAAGTGGGGACTGATGGTGGTGCCTGCCGACCTCACGGCTCTTCTCGATGCGTGATGACCTCAGGGGTCTCTTTCCCTCTGCCTTGGACCCTGTGTGGGCTTCATTCACCTCCCTGGCTGACCCACTGGCCCTCAGTAGCCTTGGGCTTACTGCTCTGTCATCTCGCCTTCTGTGGAAAGAGCACTGTACCCTCAGCAGAGCCTGGTCTGCTGTGCTTGGCTGAGGCCCCTTGCTCCCGGGAGCTTGCTGGAAGGATGGGCAGCGTCTGATCTGGGACTGTCACTGTGTGAGAGGTGGTGTGAGGCTGGCTGCTGGAAGCCAGGTCCCCAGGGTGGGTGCCTGAGCAACACACGGGCCCTTCAGGGTGTTGGTATCTGGGGAACTCGGGATGCCACTGCTGGAGTGCTTTATAGGAGGACAGGTGCCCTTGGGAACTCCAGGCTGGCTCTGGGGAGCTGGGTATACTGCAGGAGAGCGAGACCAGAGTAGCCTGGTCTGGGTGGGCCTTGCAGGGAGCAAGGATTTATAGGAACTGGGGAAAGAACACCCTCAGTGGGGAGAGGCAGGGTTGGGCCGGATGGAGCCTGCCTAGTGATTCAGGGAGCAGTGAGGAGTGTTGAAATTGGAGGGGAGGGTTCAGTATCTCAGAAGTCACAGACCAGACCTCCCTGAGTAGGTGTCCAGACTCTGGGAAGGGGGCGGGGCAGAGGTGGGTGGGAACTGTCTCGCCCACTGATGAGCGGCTCCTTCTCCTGCAGACATCCGGCTCCGGGTTCGAGCAGAGTACTGTGAGCATGGTCCAGCCTTGGAGCAGGGAGTGGCCTCCCGGAGACCTCAGGCACTGGCCCGGCAGCTGGATGTGTTCGGACAAGCCACTGCTGTGCTGCGGTCAAGGGACCTGGGCTCTGTGGTGTGTGACATCAAATTCTCAGAGCTCTCCTACCTGGACGCCTTCTGGGGTGACTATCTGAGTGGTGCCCTGCTGCAGGCCCTGAGGGGCGTGTTCCTGACTGAGGCCCTGCGGGAGGCTGTGGGCCGGGAGGCCGTCCGCTTGCTGGTCAGTGTGGACGAGGCTGACTACGAGGCCGGCCGGCGCCGCCTGTTGCTGATGGAGGAGGAAGGGGGGCGGCGTGGGACAGAGGCCTCCTGATCCTGGATCTGGCAGGACTGACCCCGCCTCCACGTCTCGGGGCCACTTTCTTCCTCGGAAGATGACCGACCATCTTGCCCCTGGACGACTGTCACTTCAGCAGCTCTGAGGATGCATCAGGTCTGCGAGTTCCTTGACAGCCTCTCCTGTAGGATGTGGGCTTCGAGGCATAAACCACGTCCAGCTGCTTCCGTCCCAAACTCCCCGCTCCCAGGTGGACTCCCTCAGCCTTGGGGGCCAGGTTTGCTGAGCCCCAAACAGGGAGGTGTAGCCACAGTCACCAAAGGCCCCTGCACATCCTGCCTCTCACCTTGGGCTGAGCTGGCTGGCCCCACACACGTTAGCCTAAGGGCTTCTCTCTCAGGATCTCAGATGTCCCCATCAGGCCTTCAGCCAGCACGCTGGGCTCCGCAGCTGGGTGCCTGTGGGGCTTGGTCACCTTACCCATTCACTCACTAACCAGTCAGGGCTCTGCCCGCTGTCTACACAGACACCTGCCTCTCGTCGCCTTCCCCTGCTCCCTGGAGCTAGATACAGACTTGCCCTTGGACTCTGACTCAGAGTGTCACATGGGTTTTGTGGTCACATCTGTTCGAGGTCAGTGTTGTCTACACGGCTAGGGCAAGAACCAGCCTCTCTCTCATGAAGGGAAGGCGAAGACTTGGGGCCGGTGGGAAGATGTTTTACAAAGTGCACCAATAAAACTGCCCTGGAAAGGGCACAGGTGGGCATCAAGGCTAAGTACTTTTTATTGGTGGGCAGAGGGAAAGGGTCGTCCCTCGTGTGGCGACCTCATGTTAGGAGAGCAGATGCCAGCCCCTCTGCCAGGTGTTGCTGTCAGTGTCTTTGTTCCTGGGCCTCGTTTAACTCTCAAAGAAGGAAGTCGGGTCCCAGAGTCATTGACTCCCAGCCCTGTTCATATGTGCTTTGTAGGAATCTGTGTGTCCACAGAGGGGAGCTCTTGTTAGATTTCATGTGAGTGGGTGTTCTGCCTGCTGCATGCCCGGTCACCAGGTGTGTTCAAGCAGGCAGACAGGGTGGCAGATGTCCTGGAGTCAGAGCTTGAGTCATCCTGAGGGTACAGGGTCCTCTGGAAGAGCAGCCAGTGATCTTAACCACTGAGCGTTTCTGCAGCCCTTTCCAAGCGTGGGCGTGGTGTGGGCGTGGCATGGGCACTGATTGCGGAAGCTGGAGCTGTCAGGTCCTCCTGCAGCTGAAGTTCCCAGTGCCTGTGAGCTGTCTGATTGGCAGCTGGGAGCTGAACTCCGGGAGAGGACCCCAGGACTTTCAGCCCGCTCGCTCAGAGAGAGGAGCTGATGGAGCCCTGGGCGTGGGAAACTGGAGAGGAGGGGCAGCCCCCCCCCCGGGTCTCCACTCCTCTTCTTTTTTGAAGTTGAAGCACCACTCACTGCTGAAGCGTGAGCTCTCTCATCCTAGAGAGCTTGAGTTTCTGACACAAAACCAAGTCTTCCATCCCTAGGTCAGGCAATGGGCTTGGCAGTTAGGAGGTGGGTGGGTACAGATCCCAGGGGCTGCCCTTTTTCTGGGGCAAGAAGTGTGCCTGCCCATGCCTAGGAACCCTTCCTGGACCCCTGCTGGTTGGTGAACGTGGAGAACTTAGGAGTTGAGCTCTGTCCAGGAGTGGAGGCTGGCCCAGCCAGCTTCCTTGGGATCTCAGAGCAAAGGTCTACTAGGTGCCCATCCAGGAAGTGATTCTGGAGGTGAACAGTGAGGTGATAATTTCTAGATCATCGCAGGCAGACTGGACAGTGAGGTGAGGCTTGCTTAAGTAGCCCTTCTTCCTGTGTGGGCCTTGTTAGTTTGTTGAGAACAGGGTCTGCTGTGTAGCCCTCATTGGCCTGAAACCCTGTGTGGACCGGCTGACTCAAAAGGGTGTGACCACTGACACAAATTCACTGACAAGGCAGGATGCTACTACATTCCATCTATTGGTGTTTTCCAGACAGGGTTTCTCTGTGGCTTTGGAGGCTGTCCTAGAACTCACTGTGTAGACCAGGCTGGTCTCGAACTCACAGAGATCCGCCTGCCTCTGCCTCCCGAGTGCTGGGATTAAAGGCGTGCGCCGCCAACGCCCAGCCTTGATGTCTCTTTTGATCTCTGTAGATGCCAGACATGTATGTGGTGCACATTCAGACATAGACTGAGAGCATTTATAAATATAAAGATAAATATTTTATTTTTATATTTTATTTTTATGCCTGTATGTATGCACATCATGTGTGCGCCTAGTGCCTGGGGAAGTCAGAAGAGGACGAGGGATCCCCTGGAATGAGTTACGGATGATTATGAGCCACCATGTGGGTGCTGGGAATTGAACCTGGGTCCTCTGGAGGAACCAAGTGTTCTTAACTACAAAGCCATCTCTCCAGCCCCTACAACAGTGGTGGTCAGCCTTCCTAATATTGGGACCCTTTTATACAGTTTTTCATGTTATGGATACCCCCAACCATGAAATTATTTCGTTGTTACTTCATAGCTGTACTACTGTTATAAATGGTAAATTTCTGGTATTCGACCTAAAGGGAGTTGGGACCCACAGGTTGAGAACCACCACTCTACAGTGAGCTTCTTTGAGGGACATTGTTTTCTCTGCCCGCTCTGCTGTTTTCTTTTTAGAAACTATTTCCCTAAAGTGGATGTACAGTCACTTTCTTACCAACTGTGAGAGTTCCCTCACCAATCCTTGTTGTAGACACTTTAGTTTGCTGATCTGTTGGGTATGTAGTAGTGTATCATTTTGACTTCATTTTCTTCTCCCTAGTGGTTAATATTCACTCTTCTTTTTAAAAGATTTATTTATTTATTGTATGTATGAGTGCTCTATCTTCATGTATGCCTTTATACCAGAAGAGGGCATCAGATCTCATTACAGATGGTGGTGAGCCTCCATGTGGTTGCTGGGAATTGAACTCAGGACCTCTGGAAGAGCAGTCAGTGCTCTTAACCTCTGAGCCATCTCTCCAGCCCCCCCCACAATCTTAAATAAAATATTTAAGAGTGAATATTAGGGCTGGAGAGATGCCACAGAGGTTAAGAGCACTGACTGCTCTTCCAGAGGTCCTGAGTTTAGCCGGGCGTTGGTGGCGCACGCCTTTAATCCCAGCACTCGGGAGGCAGAGGCAGGCGGATCTCTGTGAGTTCGACACCAGCCTGGACTACCAAGTGAGTTCCAGGACAGCCTCCAAAGCCACAGAAAAACCCTGTCTCGAAAAAAACAAAAAACAAAAACAAAACAGAGGTCCTGAGTTCAATTCTCAGCAACCACATGGTGGCTCACAACCATCTACAATTCAATCTGGTGCTTTCTTCTGGTATGTAGGCAGAACACTGTATATGTAATAAATAAATAAATCTTTACAAAAAAAGATTGTGTGTGTGTGCAGGGCATTGGTGGTACACGCCTTTAATCCCAGCACTTGGGAGGCAGAACCAGGTGAATCTCTCTGTGAGTTTGAGGCCAGCCTGGTCTACAGTGCGAGTTCCAGGACAGCCTCCAAAACAATACAGAGAAACCCTGTCTCGGAAAAAAAAAAAAAAAAAGGATTGTGTGTGTGTGGGTGCGCACTTGTGTGGATGTTGTATTTGTCATGTGTGTGTTCGGCACACTTGTGGAGATCAGAGGACAACTCAGGGAATCAGTTCTCTTCTTTCTCCCTGTGTGGGGGTCCCTGGCGCGGAACCCAGCCTTTATCCACTGAGCCATCCCACCAGCCCGGTTTCCGCTTGGTCCTGAGTGAGGACTCCGAGGGAGAGGGTGGGCGAGGCCGGGCATTCCTCTCGCCCTCCTCTCCATTCCAGGGTTGCTTCCTGCTGGACCACACCCTGAACTGAGTCCTGCTGGACCACACCCTGAACTCAGTCATTACCTGGAAGCGCGCAACACACAGGACAGACGCTTCCTGAGTACTTGTGCCCCGTGCCAGGCACATGGGTCTCTTCCTCACACAGACTTGTAAGGCTGGTTTTAATGACCTCAGCGTTTAAACACTCGGGTGACGTCACTCGCCTGAGTGACGCCACGAAGTGACAGGCAGGGCTATCTGAGTCCCAGATTTAAATTCCTAGACCTGGGGACATAGCTCAGGGATGAATGCGTCCTCAGCATGCCCAAGGCCCGGGTTCACTTCCCAGCATCGCACACGAGTTTTCTGGGCTTGGGGCTGGACTTTGGTCTCAGTGGTTGACAGCACTGGCTGCTTTCCCAGAGGGCTCATATTCAATTCCCAGCACCCACAAGGCAGCTCACACTGTCCCTCCAGTTTCAGGGGATCAGACACCCTGTCCAGCCTCTGCAGGAACCAGGCAACGCACATGGTGCACATGCAGACAAATGGCCATACACATAAAATAAAAAATAAACTTTCTGGGCAGTAGTGGCGCACGCCTTTAATCCCAGCACTCGGGAGGCAGAGACAGGAGGATCTCTGTGAGTTCGAGGCCAGCCTGGTCTACAGAGTGAGCTCCAGGACAGCCAGAGCTATACTTAGGAACCCTGTCTTGAAAAGCCAAAACACAAAACAAAAAAATATTTCAAAAAAATTCAGAGAATATATTTTATTATTGATTTTATTTGTTTTCTTTTTAAAATTTAACTTCTATGTATATGTGTATGTCTGAGTGTATGTGTACCACGTGTACAGGGTCCCACAGAGTTCAGAAGAGGCATTTGGTCTCCTAGAACTAGAGGTACGGATGGCTGGGCTGCCCTGAGGGTGCTGGACCCAACCTGGGTTCTTAGCAAGAGCAGGAAGTACTCTTAACTCCTGAGCCACCTCTCCAGCTCCTAATATGTAGACAAATTTACATTTATATACCTGTGTGTGTTCATGCACGTGTGGAAGTGTACACGTGTTCCAAGGTGCAGGTGTGATGTGTACACGCATTCCACGGTGCACATGTGATGCGTACACTCGTTCCACGGTGCACGTGTAATGTGTACACACGTTCCAGAGTGCATGTGTGGAAGTGTACACGCATTCTACGGTGCACGTGTGATGTGTGCAGGCGTTCCACAGTGCATGTGTGGAAGTGCACACGCGTCCCACGGTGCACTGTGGAAGTGTACATGCGTCCCACGGTGCACATGTGATATGTACACAGGTTCCACGGTGCACGTGTGATGTGTACACGCGTTCCACGGTGCACTGTGGAAGTGTACATGCATCCCACAGTGTACATGTGATATGTACACACGTTCCACGGTGCACGTGTGGAAGTGCACACGCGTCCCACGGTGCACTGTGGAAGTGTACATGCGTTCCACAGTGCACGTGTGATGTGTACAGACAACTTGCAGAAGTCCATACTCGACTGCCATGTGCGACCCTGGAGTTGAGCTTAGGCTTGGCAGCCATCACCTGTACCTGCTGAGCCATCTCAATTTGAGCCCCCAAACTTGTCTTCCCACGCCAGTACCCCGGCCTCTGATCCCAGCACCTGCTCTCTAGATGTGACAGGGCCGTCACACGCATGGCTTCAGTCCCTCTCATGACCGCCATCCTTCTGTTGTGTACCAGTGGGCCAGACCCTCGGGCTTTTCTCCCTTCCCCACAGCTAGAATGGAAGCCTGATCTAGAACCTCAGCAGCAGGAAACAGAAGAGACCACAGCTGGAATGTGTAGATCGCCGAATGAAGGAACTATCGGCAGAGGTGTGGGAGGGCTTGAGGGAACTTGGAAGGAGGGCATGGCCACAGGAAGCTGACCACATT